CAGGGAATATAAGGAATGAAAGGAAAAAGCCTCACTGCTTTTGCGTACTGATGATCTGGACATGACATTTGTCAAGTGACTCTTCCACGTCCTTGGTCCTTTCCTGCCCACCAATTTCAGTGGAGTATCTACCCCTGAGAGAGCCTTGTGCCACAACAACAGTTCTTGTGTCTTACAGTGGTCAGACACAGGAGACAATCCTCACGCACAACAACTGCACAAGGGCTGGGGTGAGCCATGCTCTCTCCCCAAACTAGCATTTTGTCTATTTTTGTCTTACTAGCAGAGTCAGCACTTTGGGAATGCCTACGTAATAGTTATATTTGTCTGATCCCTCGAGGCTATGTCCACAAGCTTAATCCACCTACTTAAATTTGACACAAGTTGACGTTGACAGGTCTTTGTGACAAAAAGCACTAAGTGACTATCCTCATGCTCTTTGACATATGAAAGTATCTTTAATATGCTGCTGTTACACAAACAGATATCATACCTGTATCCATGATGGTGCAGCCATAGTCCTGATTTCCTTTTCAGGTAAATGGGGGATAAGTCCTTTGATCAGACTGGGTGAGATTCTGAATCCCTTGGCTATTCTTCACTGGGTTGTAAGTGATCTGTATATAACTGAAGGCAGAAATTAGTGGAGGAGACTTTCCTCCTCCTTCCTGTGAATGCCCCAGGCCAGTGATGGTGAAATGATATCTTTGGGCTTTCTGCAAGCCCTGACTTCATGCTCAAGGTCATTTTCTTTACCTAAAGAAAAAAACCCCAAAACCTAACCCACTACTCATTTTCCAAAATCATTGAAAGTTCCTAAACCTACCCAAAACAAACCTGGTCATGAGTAGAGTTGTAAGATGAGAAGGGTTGTTCAGGCAGACCTCATTCCCAGTATGCTTGTTGATAAGCTGTAGTTCTTGAATGGTCTGAACTTCAAGTCTCCAAGGTGCTTTGCATCCAGCACAGTAGTAGGGTAGGACCTGGAGACTGTTTTAGAACTGTCAACATGCCTCATTATGATTACACTTCAGTGTGAAAATTAATACATATGATGTCAGGGAGTTTCCATGCTTGGTGCTGTCAGAGAAGCCAGTGGAAGTGGGAATTCAGAGACCTTGAAAACTGGCCACCACACACAAACTGACATCTGTATGTCAGTTCCCTGCCAAACCTTCTTGTGGCTGCTGCAGGTCAGATGTCAGTGCAATCAGACCTAAAATGGAACTGAAATTTTAAATAATGATGGTCCCACTTTAACATGGCTCTTAAGCATTTCCATAACCTAAACACATTGGTAATCTCATGGAAATTTTAAGCTTAGTTATCTATATACATAGCGAGATATTTTAAGTCTTATTTTATCTGAAAAATTGAACATAGTAAATGTGAAACAGTGATAGAAAATTGTTGGTAATGGGTCAGATTGCATCTCCTGCTGATTTTCAAGAGTGTATGTGCACATGTATAATTATAAATCACAAATAAAAATGTCGTGGCTCTTAGTGCTCATATCCTATGTCAAACTGGATCCCGAATGCATCTCATGACATGGATGAGGCATGAAAGAATTTATGGAGATGTTATCTAAGTGGCAGTTGTGTTTTCCCTTTATTTGCTAACTACACTTCTTAATATACTCTCCTTTTCGAGTAGCCATGTAGAGAGGACTGTTATGTTAATTCCTATTCTTTCTGAAGAATTACATAGAGCCAGATGCATTACAAGTTTCACAACCAATGACTAACTCGAGGTTGGTGTTTAGCATGACACAACCCACTGACACGCAACATTCTTGGCTTCTCAAACAAAAAACTGTAAAGAAGAGACCTCATGTCTTAGAAGCTGCGAGGCAGAAGTTAACTTTAGTTGCTCAATAGAAGGTCCAGTGGACATGGTGGTATCAGTTCAGTGGCAACTGGACCTTCAATAACCTCTTTTCCCTGTAGCTCAAGAGGCATCACTGGAACCCAGTGAACAGCACTTCTTCTCCAAAGGGGTTGAGGACTGTGTGCTGGAGGCAACACTTTCTCCACCACCAGCCCCCCTGACAATACCTCAACAGAGCACCATATTAGGCAACGGGCTGTCAGGAATGGCATCTGGGGACTCCAGTGATCATGCCTCCTAGGGAAGGAGCACAACCATAAGCTGCTGGTTGAGTGTACAGAGCCCTTTCCTGGCTGACAAGCTTGTTGCAGAGGTCAGCCAGAGAGGGCTATCATTCTTTGGGGAAGTGGAAACCACTCCGTGCTATTAATGGGTTTTTTCCTGGCTGTCCTCAGGAATGGAGCTGTAAGCCAAGCATGACCATGAAAGGGGTTGCACATGGTCAAAAGATTATGTTGAAGTATCTTCCATGTCTCTGTCACACCCAGTGCCTGGAACTCTCCCCTTTTTCTTCCCACACTATACGTCAGGTCTCTCCCTTGAGCTCAGTTTTTGTCTCAGTTTTCTCAGCAATAGTCCAAACAGTCTAGAATTATGGTTTAGGAAAGAAACCACTGTCTTCTTGGTTTGGCTTCAGCCGTCATCCCGTCACAGAATTGCAGAGTAGCTGAGGTTGGAAAGAACCTTTGGAGATTATCTACTCCAACCTCCCTTCTAGGAACAGGGTCAACTTGAGGCAGTTGCCCTTGAGAGTACTCAGGTTTTAAATATCTCCTTTTGTGTCTGCAGTTTAGACTATGAAGTTTAGACTATAATAATAGTGTTTCAGGTCAGTTTGTGCTGTAGATTTTGGCTCATATCTGTGCCTACTGCTGGGTAAGGCAGGACTTGAAAGATATGTTGTTTCTGAGCAATGTTACTGTGTTGATGTAACCATGAAACACCTCTCGAAAGGAAAGAAAAATTCTAGGCAAGTCCCTCAGAAATCTCATAAGTTTTTCATCTGAGTCTGGAAAGTGCTTTATTTGTTAAGCTTTTGTTTATACTGGTGAGCCATGGAGAATTTTCTAATTCAGTGTTCATAAGAATACTCCCTGTTTCTAGTTATTAAATTTCACAAGGAAAATTATGCAGTCAATAATTTTCTGCTATGACTTTTTCATGCAAGAAATACATTTCCACGCCATAGAGATGTTATTTTATTCTCAGTGGAAGTAGTGAGAAATGTCATGGCAGTGAAGTGAATATATTCCGAGGCATACTTTTTGTGTTGTAATTTTCATATTTTTCTAGGCCACAAAACAACACTTAGTAATTAGACCAGAAAAAATAAATTGCTATGAACCTAAGATATTTTACTGTTAGCACACTCTGTGTGTTGGTCTTTAATATACTTCTGCCTTTCATTCTGTGTGATGGGTGCTGTGACCAGAATGTACAACACTAGCTCTTTCCCCATAGCGAGGGTTTCTCTTTGGAATCTCTACAAGGATTTGCTATTGTATCTGTGTATGTGACTGAAAGTTTCTAAACCACATAAAATGCACACAATCAGCTTAAAATTATATTTGCACTAAAAATATTCTTCCCTTTGAAACTTTAATGGATTTATTAAGAATGAGAAGTATGTTTTAGTTATATTTAGACCTGAGTGCAGAGGAATAGCCTTACCCCCATTTCTGTGTGAAAGAGATTGAAACTTTATTTCCTGAATATGACCTGAGGTGGGGCCCCAAAGGTTAATACCCATAACATGATAAAGGTTAGTAAGAGCTATCTACTGTTACAGTTAAAGACTTCAACCTTTTAAATCTTTGCTTTGTTCTAAGTAGTTAAACAGTAAGTCAATGAACTAGTTCCAATAAATATTGCTGGTTTCAACTAGTTTAGAGTCCCAAAGCTTTTAAATGTTGGAAATAAACTTCCTCTAATGTTTTAAAAGTAAGTTTTAGATAGTCAAGTTGTTCTTATATTTGAGATGGGAGAACATGTCATCCCAAAAGGATAACATTTAAATAGGATAAAAAGTCTGGTTTCTTTATCACACGTCTGATTGGGAAGTGATATATATTAAAAACCATAACTGAAAGAAAGAATACCCAAACATACTGTAGGTCCTACTCAGAGAGGATAAACTGATTTTTTTTGCACTGAACATTGATCTCTAGATCTGATGGTGTGGTGAAAATGAGATAAAGGTCTCTGGATTCACTCTGCATGATCCTGCTAAGTTAATGGATCAATTACACTTCACTATTAAAGTCATATCAGATATTATATCGGTGGAAATTTTCCTTAAACATAAGGTATTGTCTGACAGAAGCATATTGATGTGGTAAGTTATACCTTTAAGCATAGGTTCAAGCCCAATTGACTTAAATAAATGAAACCCAAACTTGAAATTCAATTTGGATTCCATGATATTCCAGAACTGTCCTAAATTATAGTTGCCAAAAGGTCCTGAAATGTACTGGGTCCCAATTAATATAAATACATGCAGGTAGCTGACCTGCAATCAAGGAGAGACCTTATCACTCTCTACAACTACATGAAAGCTGTACCTGAAAGGAAGTTGCAGACAGGTAGGGGTTGGCCTCTTTCTCCCAAGTAACAAGTGATAGCACAAGAGGAAATGGCCTCAAATTGCATCAGGGGAGGCTGAGATTGAATATTAGGAAAAATATCTTCACTGAAAGGGTTGTCAAGCACTGGAAGTGGAGTCAGCATCCTTGGAGGTATTTAAAAGATGTGTAGATGTGGTGCTTGGGGTCATGGTTTAGTGGTGACTAGTCAGTGCTGGGTTAATGGTTGAACTTGATGACCTTAAAGATCTTTTCCAACCTAAAAAATTTTATGATTCTATAAATATTATATATCTCCATACTGAAAAAGTTCCTTGACCTATCTTCGCAGAGCATAAGCTTTAGACCTCTGACCTTGTCACTCCAAAGTTGTCATGTATTGCATGCATGAAAGTAAAAAAAATTTGACAACTGCATGAAAATATGAAATGAACCCAATGTCCAAAGTCAACAAACACATATTAAATGTGTGAAAAATATTTGCTTTTATTTGAAGCTCAGTATCTGTCTTCTTTCCTCATTTTTCAGAAACTGAAAATGAAAGTGCACCGCCACCTCCAGGTTAGTGTAAAAAACACTAATTTGAGCTGTAACCCAAACAACAGTTGCATTAGACTAGATACTGCATGGCCATAATATGATTTGTGTTCATTGTCCCTTTGAAAGTAAGAGGACAGTGAGAAAATAAGAAAGCCTGCCCAAGTAAAATATTCTCACTTCACTTTGCCTGAATGTTGATTTTTCAGACTCAATTTTTGTTTGTGAAAGACTAGTTGTTTGCTTCATATTGCACAGGTCCTTCAGGATACAGGTAAAGGTTAAATTCTATGGCTAAATTATGCTGCCTTCTTTGATGCTGGACAGCATTTAATTACCAAAATATTCCCTTTCATTTCTCCTCAAAAGTACTCTGTGAGTAAAGCTGACAGAATCAACCATGGGATTCATTTCGCTTAGTTTTAGCCATTTGAAAATTGTCTTGTCTAAGTAGTTCCATAGTGCTCCACCCATGACCAGTGGAGCAGATCCTGGGTCATACATGCTCATCCAGTGGGCATTTCCTGGATAACCTATCAAAAATGTCACTGGACATCTGCATATGGGCAATTGTCCTGAGAAGCCTGATTGTCTAGAATGGAGCTGGTGAGTAGCTGCCCGGAAGACAAAATTAGGTGACCTGAAACTCGCTCATAAGGACTAGAGCTTCAGGTAAAGTTGAAGATCTGTGCAAAGCTGCTACATTCTCTTTAGTGGGAGCTGGAAAGGTAGGGAAGCCTTTGCTTTGTGGCATTGACTAACTTGAGTTATATTGCCAGACAATGGTTAATACATATATACATTATGCATGTCTAATTTAACCATTTTGTGAGTTTTATTCTCTCTGTAGCTACCTAAATAGCAATTCCCAACAGAACAAATACTCTACAGGTGTTAAACCTTCATTTACTTACAATCTTGTTAACTGGCATTTTAAGGGGCTGTTCAAGATGTTTTTGTTTCAACAATACACACTTTCATTGAAAAATGACAAAGGTAGTAGTATCATTTGCCACAAAGAGTTTCATGTTTCAATAATCCATGTATTATTTTTATGCGATGAACTCTTTCATATTGCATATATTTGTAAGGAAAGTTAATTGAAATTTCATTAATGATGGTTGTATTTAACTCAACTGTAAAATTTGTACAGTTAACATTAAAGTAATTAATTTCACACTGAGGCTCTTACCTGTTGTAGTTTGTACTTGAATTCATGGTTTTCATCAGTCTTAACTTTGAAGTAGAACTGAAATGAGAAACAGCTTTTTGTATACAGAAAGGCACAGCATCTTTGAAACTTTACATTAAAAACATCTATTAACATTTTCAAATAATTAACATCTTTGTTTCTACTTAAAAACACTGGATTAAATACAAAATCATTTCTATAACCCCCTTTCTTTTCCTCATACCTGTACCTCTTCGGTAAAGTAAGTAGGGTGTCAGCAGGCCTTTATGGTTAGGCACAGACCAAACTGGGATATTTCTAAGCTGGAAGTGTCAGTCACTTCTAGCTTCCTTCTGCCTGACTCAAGATGCTGTCATCTTGGATTACCAAGTGCTATCACACAAAGAGGGAAGTTGGTTGTTCAAGAATCCAAATTCTGTAACATATAAATAGTTTATTGGACATAATCAACACCTTGAACTGCACCCACTTACAGTGGGAAACCATTGTAAGTGCTCCTTCTGGGTCTCCATGTCAAGCCATGATACTGGAATAACCAGACCTAGTGAAGTTTTCAGATGAGATGTAGACATTCTACCACCTGCCAAGAACAGTGAATTCTCCTAATCCTAATTCCTGGTGGGAAAAGAAAGTGTTACTGTAGCAAAAGCCCCATTAAAAAGGAACAGGCTTGACCATCTAGGCAAGATGGACAACCTGACAACTGGAGCTTGGAAATTTAGGAAATATGGACAGAAGCATCCAGAAGTCTGTCATACTTTCAGAATGTGGATTTGCTTTCTAAACTTCAAGTTTTGTTTTCATAGTTACCATGGCTACACACACGTGAACAAGAAATCAGGGTAATCACAGTATCAGCTGGCTCTTGCCAATGTTTCCTCCATGGAATAAATATTATCTTAGCTCCATCTAGATAATGTTAGTCCATTGACCATCACTCAAACTCATGTTCTGTCAGGTAGCTGACAGGTAAGTTTGCTACAGAAAGTCATTGTTCACAGGCAATCGGATATTGAGTGTTTATACCTTGAAGACAGCACAATTCATAGGATTTGACAAGATTCTAGATGACCCTGCATGCAAATTGAATGAGGTAGGAAACCAAAGAGAACAGGAGTCCTGTCAAATCCTGAAATAGAAAAAGTGTAGAAATTTTTATCTTGTTAAAAGTACAGTCCAAGGTTTCTCATACATCTGAGGTCAAAAATAAATTACATTCACCTGCTCAGAGTAGAGGACAGGCTGGTAATTGTTCTGATTCAGAAAACTAAATATGAATAGTATTTTAGGAAAGACTGTTGATAATAATAATGATGATGATGATAAAGAATTAATAAACCCCTCAATACACTCTCTCTGTACTTTGTCTTAAGGATAAACTGATTGGTGTGATGGAGCTCTGGATACCATTAGTATTTGGCAGTATCTCATGTCTGATCCAATGCCTTTCAAATTAACAGTGATATGTAACTCATTTCGAAAGCTTTTACAAATAAGCCCAAGAACAAGAGACTAACAACTGTTACTTCTAAAAAACCTAGTATTTTTCTTCCACTGAGTCCAGGAACATCAATCTTACATGACTTGTTCAAAACATAGAAATTGCATTGATAAATGCAATTGAAAAGTGCTTTAGGGGATTACAACTGTTTATTACATATACACATATATCAATCATTCTATAGTGTTGTTTTTTCAATACTAGCAGAACCTAGAATATGACTGCATTTTTTAATGCTGTGTAAGTTTTTCTTTTTACTTTAAGATCCTCTCAAAAATATACTTGTAATTCCTACACAGAACAAACAACACCGCAGGAGGGTGGAAATGAAAAGGGTAAAGGTAAGTCTGAAATCATATTTTAAAAATTGGCAGTAAAGGCAACATTTCTAAATGCAATTCTGAGGCTGAATTGCTTGAGCTTTAATTCAGAATTTTGATGTTTTATTTCAGAAGTGTGATGTGAAGCTTCCTAGATCCTTTTCGTGCATGACTTAGCCAGCACAAGGAAATTATGATACTTATATTTTCAAAAACTCTGCAAACCAGACTGACACTTTAGCAGCAGTATTTATACAGATTGTTTAATTAATAGATCAAATTACAAGTGATTTGCATGAGCAGAAAGCCATGTTTAAATGAGCCTGGATGTTGCCACTGACCAAGCTTGCAAAAACTCAGATATTGTGCACATTGGTGGCTTTTAAATAAAGTGGACAGTCTCCTGCTGTCATTCTAAGCTGTTTCTGTTCTATCACAGAAACTTGATATTGTGTGTTTTATTCTGCAAAAAGCCCTATAGATTTTTTTCATCTGAAAATAGAAATCACACATTCATCTTTCTGTCCTCACTAGGAACCCAACAGCTGAGCTCATTACAGGTTCTGAAAAATGTCTTTGAGGGCTGTTGGCTGTGAGCAAACAGATAACTGTTCCACTAGCAATGCATGTAAAAATCACTTCCTGTTTTAATGTATATTTTTGTGCTGCTAAGATCAGACTCCAGCTCTGTTTCTTCTGGTTACTAAGATAATTTTTGAGGAAACTGGGCTAAATTCCTTTCGTTTTTGTAGGAGCCCTGCCAAAGTAGAAATCAAACACCCCATCAGCTTATTTTGAAATTAATGATCTTTTTTTTCGTTCATTCTGATAAAAGGCAAAACCAGACCAAGATACAGTTACAACTGATGCAATGCTTGCTTTTCATTTGGCATGGTTATGCTTTTTCATGGAAAATCAATAAATGGCTTGCTTGAAAATGCATTCTGGCTTTTGGCCTCTTCCAGACAAAACCTTGTCTTATAGGCAGACTGGATGCCTACCTGATACTTGAAGATTCATTTGGCAAAGGCATGCATGGCTATTTTTCTCACTAAAGTAAAAATATAAACACTGAGAGTGTGTGGTTAAAGTACCCTTTTGAAAATAAAAATGCTGAACCAAGATTCAGTGCATGTTATTTTGCCAGTTATCTTTGCATTGAGCAATTATTTTGACACACAAAGTATTGTGTGAGTAATCACATCTGTCATCTTGGTAACCGAAACGCAATTCAGGAATAATTTGCATGCCTAATGATAGGAAAAAAAGATGAAGGTCTTGCCTCAAGCTATTCCAGCAGTTAGTTCTGCTTGCTTTAATTTTGACATGAGAGAAATGTTTGCTCCCAAACTGAACATGGATGGTGTTTTCCCCACTGCTCATGAGCCTACGTTTTACTGAATAAAAAAGAAAACATGGTAGGTAACTTATCAAATATTTCTATTACCTTCTACATTATTATGTTTATGTTTTGAAGTTAGTGAAGGACACAAGTATTTAATAAGAGAAAAACTGTTCCTCCTAAGAGGAACCATTTGATGCTAGGAGGATTTTACTACCAAAAAAAATTGTTTGGGATCCTTGTATGGAAAATGTTTCCAGTTTCAGTCCATGGTGGCAGCTGCTGCCTCAGTAAAAATTCCACTGAAAGTCTCAATACTACTTTGTAGATGACCTTCTGCCATGCTCCAGTGAAACTGTCACCTCTGCAAAGCAATGTAGATGTCATTGTCAGGCATTCAGTAGTAATTTTTTGGGAAAAGTTAGTTATAGTGCAATTGTTCCTATTAGCTCCTGTTTTGTTGCAGAGTATCACCTAGTAAGGGAAAGTATATTTTCTTAGAGTGATTTCTTCATGTTTGTCTGCCAGAAGAAAATCTTTTTAATGGTGAACATAATTCACAAAATGGGAAAAGTTTCCATTCTTCCAATCTGTCCAAAATCATATACATATCTAGGAAAGAAAATTTGGTAGTCCATGTAAATCCCACAGCCCATAATTTTCACCTCATTACTAAGACAAAATTAAGATCAGAAGTTAGGAAGATAGAGTATAACTGTCTGTGTGTCTGTTTTGCTGTTATATTTCTTTTTGGTAGCTACTGTCTGTGTGAAGTTACAAATTTGTGTTCCTTTGTATTTACTGTGAAGTTAAGAAATGGCAAAGAATGCAATAAATTCTTTTTATCTTGTGGTTATTACAGTATAAATTAGTAGCTCAGAGCATTAGACATAAAATTTTCTTTAATAAAATAAACTAGTTAAATAATATCTGAAATAATGTTGTAAAAATTCAGGATTATATGATCATGCATTTTATTTTCAGAGAAAAAAAGTGACTCAGCAGAAATCCCTCCAAATTTACTACATCATCTTATATTCATTCAATTTAAATGTTTATGCCTTTGTTTTCAATTTTAACATTATCTTACAGATTGAATATTGTTATAATTTTGTTCCCACTTACTGGAATAATAATAGAATTTTAATATCGATTTACTCATTCCTTTTTTTTTTTAGGTCCCATCCAGCCATTCAGAGAGCTACTAAAATTTCTGCATGTTTTACTGATACCTTTTCTCTAGGTTTCATCCAACCATCCACTAAAATGTTTGCATGTGTCACCCTTGTATTTTTCCAGGTTGCAATTATCCATTCATCTCTCTACTAAAACTTCCATTGCTGTATGTATGCACTTCATTTACCATTTCCAAAGTGCCAAGTCCCCTTGATGGGACTGCTGAGTAATCTTTGAAAATCAGATGGGTAATTGAAGTCAACTAAATTTCAAGCTCTCGATCTTACTGTGCTCAGTAATTTCAGCATAAACCAAAATTATTCAGCTAGTTGTTTGACTTACTCTGTATTTATTACACACCACGAAGTTCACACTTTGTGGCGTTTACCTGCCTCCTGCCTTAGCCCTGAACACTGGCTCCAGGGGGCAGTAGCACAGATAAATTTCAAGGTGCTTTGAAGTCACCTGCAGGAGCAAAACAGTGTGTCTCCCCTGTTCATCACTTCACACATATACATACACCTGCCACTTCGTGTGGTAGGTTTCAAATCAGGGGAAAGTAGGTCTAAAACTCTGGTTACCAGCAGTTCATATACAGATCAGTAATTACATTTTTTCTGTCAGATTTTTCTACATTTTACGTATCATTGTTCAGAAATTTTAATATTGAGGTTACACTAGCTGTGAGTATAAAAAGGTTTTTGTATTAGGTACTACTGAGATATGGAGAGTTCTTTTGTCCAACCAGACTCTACTCCTAATGAAGCTCAGCCTGGTCCTCAGTTAATATTATCATTTAGATACAAGGCAAAAACCATAAATACCCTATTTGTCAATGAAATTGTACCATAGACAAAGAATAAAGATCTCTATAGAGTAATACATTTATCAACCTATTATGGATGACTCTTGGCATACAACATATTACTAAATATACTCCATTAAAAGTTTACTTGCAGAAGATAAGGATAGTGAATTAATGATCATAGTTCCACTGAGAGGTTTGATATTTTTGGTAATTTTTTATCTTTTTTATTGCCAACATAAACAATCATTCGTCACATAAAGCAAATCGGTCATAGCTGTTTAACCAGTAGTTGGTCCATTTTGTCCTAGAAGCCTGAGATATAAGGATTGATGGATTGTTAATTACCCATTTGTCGAAACAATCTTATTGTTTTTATACTCTTTCCATTTCTAACACATTCAATTGTGCTTTCATTTTGATGCTTCTGAAAGGTTTGTTTGGGTTAGTTTGTTTGTCTTCAATGTTAACATTTTGTTTGAAGAATGGTAGGTAACCATGGAGAAACCCCAGCAATCCCCCTGCAAAACTAATAATATCTTTTTTGGTTTTTAGCTCTAAATTATTTTAATTTAAATGATTAAATAAAATAAAAATCAGAGTGGTCCTTTCACAACATGATTATCATACATCATCACGTGGGATGCATCACACCAAATGTTTTATGCTGCTCTTAATTATTTTTTTCCAACCAGATGGCTCTTCCAGCCATCATCAATCAAGATGGTGACATTATTGACAAAAAGAGACTAAAGTACACTTTATGCTCTCATGATATACGGAGAAAGATTTACAGTGGAGTTACTAATCCTTGCATTCATTTAGTTGCTAGCACAGTATATTAAAACCTCTGACAAGACTTTGTCATTATTGTGCTTTCACTGAAAATCAACATCTTCAACATCTGCTTATGGCATTGGATGATGCAGGTCATGAGAACTCTTCCATTAAAAGAATGTGGGGTTTTTTTGCTAAGAATAAGAAAAGATTTTTGTAAGATAACACATTAATCCTAATATGCAGGCATACCTTTTACAACTCTCATTCTCCTCCCAAGAGATTTCTAAAATGAAGTTTGATGAATCATTAAAAAAGGAATGGGTAAAATGTTATGGCTAAGTACTTAAATTCTATTAACAGACTTTCAATTAACCTTCAGTGGTTAAACAACCCCAAAAAATCAATATCACGGGTGTTTATAAAAATGCAACTATACTTTATCTGTGCTTTTGTCATAGTTGCTACATTTGTCCATGAGAAAATATAGACAAATTATAACTTTAAGGTCAAAATCAAAGGATTATGGAAATCCAAATCAAAAATCTAAAAAAAAAATGACGCCCAAAAAAGTACCTTTAAGTATGAGGTTGTTCCTTTTCAATTCTCTTATCCATGTTGAAGTATTCTTCAGATTATTTTCTGATACTGTATTCAAAACATTTTATCTTTATCTTATATATGTATTAAATACTAAATATATCTAGTTTATTCTTGCCTTTCAAAGGATACATTGGTAATTTTCTTTTCTTTTACTATTAGGCTTTTAAGACACTAAGACTTTTTGCTTATTTTTATCAGAAATTGAGTTTTCTAGTCAACTTCTAAAATTCAAAGATATGTAGGTGACTCCTGTAAAGATAGTTTTTACCTTATTCTAGTTTTCTAATAATCATGATTACAGTATTTCAGTTTAATGACAGTTTCATGTTTTTCCAGGCTTTTGATTTCTGTAAATATGTACTCTCTGTGATTAAAAATTTTAAGATATCTGGTTACCAATTACTTGTAGTGATTTAATACCTGATTATGGTCAACTTCTAGTGTGATTAAAAGGAAAGTCCAGCATGATGACAATAGTTCTTTCCTTATTCTAAATTATTCTCCTATAATGTGGAAAAAAATGAGTTGTTTATTCCTTGCATTTTAAAATTATATTCTAATACAGAAATTACAAAGTTAAAATACAGGGGACTATTTTTAACATTTGCATATCTTGATTTAATAATGCTAAATGCATGTATGGTGCGCGTTTTAATTGCAGACACAGTCACCAGAGAAATGGCATCTTCCTCAGGTTAGATATGTGATTGACCTTCATTTCATTGTGGCTTTTTCTTTTGTATTTACTGTGGATTACATCTCTAACAAACAGAATCACTCTGCAGCTTTCATATAAACTCATGACTTAATAACAGATCACAGTCCACGTCTCATTTTTCTTTTACTTGCTTGAAACATTAAGGTTTACCATTTCAACTACTGAATTATGCAAAGCTTTCCTCATCAGTTTGAAGCTTCCATTGTGAATGCCTATGAATATTGTGATTTCTTTCCCTTTCTTTTGCAGGTTTTACATTTTCACATAGTTGTTTTAAAGCAGATGATCGTCTGTGCTTTCAGTTTCTTTATGTACCTTCTTATTTGTATTTCTCTTCACAGATGAAGATGACACTTCAGTTAGTACTCCACCAGCAGGTTAGGACTGTGATAGTGCTTTGAGTGTGTATGTATGTATGTATTTTTCTCTTGACTATTAATGAAGAACGAGTCCAAACCATTGGACTGAACTCAAAACATACTACTTAGAGAAAAAGGTTTTTAGAGTGGCCTACATTATATTAATCTCTCTTCAGAGGTACAAGACTTTAATACTAGATAAGTCCCTTTCCAGTCCTGTCTTGAGGTTTTTGGTAGAACTTCTACCAGTGGAAGGTAAAATATTGGTTAGTAGATCTGAAAGCAATTCCAGATAAATAAATAGACTATTTAAGTAATTCAAAGTACTGCCCCCAGATAAATATTGAAGAACATAAATTCATCTGTTACCCGGAACTACACAAATCATGGAAAAAACATCAGCCTCATGTAACCCTTCTAAATACAAACTACTAAAAAGGAAATCTTGAATGGGAATTATACTAGTTTAGATTTCCTAGAGAAAAAGGGGGAAGATTTCTGGGTTTTTTTTTCTCAGTAGTTCATTTTTTTCTGGTATTCAAGTAGTTTCTCATGGATATGGTCCTAAATGTTTAGTCTAACTTTCATGAAGAATCAATGTTCTTGAAATCATAATGATCTGAGGTCAGTTAAGTTATAATCTCTGAGCTGGTATCACCTAAATTGCTCTTCCCTTTCAGATGGGATGTCTAAGCCAGCGGAAAGAAAAGATTCAGGTGAGACTTCCTGAAAAACACGATGAAAGACTCCAAAATTACATAATAAAAATATTACTTATTATGAATTTCTTAAAGATAATACTTTATTTTATTTTCATTGCTTAGATAGTATCAAACTATAACTGTTCAAATGTCTCTAAGTAGCAGAGCAAGCAGGTTTCTGGCAGCTAAACCAGGAATGAGAGAAGGCCCTTCTGCACAGGACAGGACATGTACCAGTATTTCACACATACATACATACCTATCTATCTATATCTATTTCTGTATAGATAGATACATAGCTGTTTCATTCCTCCTCAGCCTACAGGGTGACAGTGGCTTACCTGAATCCCAAACACAGGTCCTAGGAGACTGTAAGAGAATGGCTTCTGCTCACACCTCAAAGGACAGTGGAGAAAACTTAGCAAAATCATAACCTCTTTCTTCCTACCCTGGCAGGTAATGCATACTACACCCACTTTTGTGGTTTCAGGATTTGCAGCCTCTGGAACAAATTGAGCAGCAGGTACTTCAACCATGGTTGTAGACCTGGCATAGCCGCCTATGCCAGCCCCTTCAGCCAGCGCCAAACCCGCCTTCTGTTCTGTTTGTTTAATAATTAGGAAAATGTTAATGTCTAAAGGTGATGATAATATTTAGGTGTTCTTTTATGTGGTACCAAATTAATGATTCTATGTATGCTTTTCCCATTCATTAATATTCTTTTTCCATTTATTAATATTCTTCTTCCATTTATTAATATTCTTTTTCCATTTATTAATATCCTTTTTCCATTTCACCCAGTGGTATGTTAGGTTTGTTACTGCACGTGACCAGGTCCTGTACTGAGCATCATCACTTCATTCTGTTCCCATCAGTAACCTTCACTTGCTCTTATGTTGTTTCCATATACTACCATGTAATACTGGCATAATCTAAACATTTATACTATGAAGAGAGTATATATAGATATGTATCTATATATATATTTGTGTTCATGTATGTCTGTGTATGTGATTTCATACATGTGTACGTGTGTTTTCATATATGTGCATATACATGTGTATATACATGAATGTCTTTACCTATGAGAAATATTGCACAAGCAGACATATAGGCACACTACCTAAAATTGACTGAAAGACTGAAGGACAAAAATTTTATACCAAAGCCATCTAGAATTTCTATACCTTTAACATTCCTAATAGACTTTAGGATAATAAAAACAGTTTGTTTGCATTTTCTCATGGTTGTCATGAGTTGTGTTGCATTTGTGAGTGATGGAAATTTTCATGAGTTAAAAAGGTTCCCACAGCAATAATCTCTACATAATAGAAAGACAATCCTGACTTCTGGCAAATGAGTTTCTACAAAAAATACTGAGCAGGGAAAAGAACTTTTAACTTCAAGACCAGGGTTTGACTAAGTGGGAAGTGTTGTATGACTGATTCCTCACTTATGTTAGTTATGAAACTAAAACTAAAAGAGCATTATGTAAACTATAAAATGCTAACTTCACTTTTGAAACAAATAGAAGTTTGAGGGAAACAAGGGAGAGGCAGCTCTGTTTTGAAAGAGACAGATGGCCTTTATTAAGTACAGCTGTGCCTTTCCTCATTTGCCCTGCTCTGCAGTAGCACCATTGCAGCACTCAGTTTCCCCTGTGCACTGGGGGTAACTCCTCACAAAAAGGAGATGTGGCATTTGGACTGCAAGTCGACAAATGGAACACACCAAGGAGTAAAAAGCAAGAGAATTTATACATTGAAGTCTGCATAAACCTGCCTATCTACTACATAGTTACCACCTACCTTTTGCATAATTGATTAGCTTGCACAACCTTATGTGTCACCGTGCCTGCGTGGGCCTCTTCAGGGGTCTCTGGTGGTTATCTGGGGAGGTGGCCCCTACTCAGTCTTGAGCAAAGTTCAGTTCAGGACACACAGAACCCCAGGTTGAGTGCCAAAGATGTGATCTTCTCAGACAACTGCCAAGCAGGTAGTAAAATACAAAAGCTTCTCATAAACATCGAACATCTGCTTAACATGCCTGGTAGCACCTTCTTACATTCAAAAGAGGGGTTAAAGGTGAGAATAATACCATCAGGTTCTGTCTGCAGCAGAGATCAAAGGAAGGGTAGGGACAGTAAAATCTGCTTAAAGGCTCAGAGATTCTGCTTAAAGACATCATTAGAAGAGAACAAATTTCAGAAGTAAGCTTCATACCTGCCCTATTTTGCAGACAAAGAGGAATACCCGGCTTGTATAATTTACTTAGTTTGATAGAAACCCACTGAAACAATGTGTATGTGGTTTTTTTGTGCTTGTAGCTGTTTGTGTTTTCAGAACCTCCATCTCTTCTGAAAAACAAAGAGCTGACCTTTGTGCATCACCTCTGTAAAGCACTCATGGTTGAATGCTCAAGTTGCTCAGTACCCATCTTGGCTGATCAGGTTCCCCTCTCTTCCTCCCTGATAGTTTCATTTTCTCTCACCACAGAGGTAGCATTCTTGCAGGAGCTGTACACAATGTGACAGCCAAGCAATGGATGTCAGTGTGAACAAAAACTTACGTATCTTTCAGGACATCTGAAGAGAGAGGTGATAGGGCTAGAGAGTTTAGTAAGTTCAGGTAAGTGTTCTTTGAAGGGAGTAAAACACACTCAGATGATTAATATTTCCCCCTTTCTCTGCATCTCAGTATGGTCTCTTGGAGAAGGAGCTCCAGAAGAGTCAGAAAAACGAGATGACTCCCAAAGATCTACTTTATTCGTCGAAAAACCTCAGAGCGGTACAGTGAGTGTTGGTAAGTGCTTAGAAACAAAATCAAAAACCACTCCCAGAGAGACAGGCAGAGCTGGGAATGGTAGGTGCCTTTCCTGTGACACTCAGCTTCTGCCCTCAGCTGCAAGTATTGCCACTGGTTTTAGCTGGGTGTGAGCTCCACTCTGAAGGAAAAAAGAACTGCACAGAGAGAAGCAAACCCTAATCGTTTAATTCAAGACAAGCTCAAAATCTATTAGTTTACTGAGCGCAATGGTAAGAGGTATAGTTTCTGGATAAGAGGGCTGGTTACTGTGACACTGTTGGCTGTACTCTTACTGATATATCAGGAAGATCTTCCCAAAGATCTGCAGTATACCTTAGAGATTGACAGGTCACCTTTTGTACCCTACAGCTCCGCATAAATTAGCAAGTAGCCTGATTGGAGCAGCTGCCCACTGTAACCGTGCTGGGGGATTTGCTCTGGACTGGCTTTGGTTCAGAGTTCAAGCACTGTGAGGACTTTCTGTGTTGTGAACCACAATACAGTAAATGAGGATAGTTAGGAGGTTCACTTCCAAACTGCACTCCTGAGCCATGCTGCCATGGTAAGGTAGCCACTCCTAGTAGTAATGATGAAAAGTTCAGTGCAGGTTACTTAATATGCCTGTTATTTCATTGGGTGCACAAAGATGTGGGCAGATCTTGGGATTTTTTTTTTTTATGCCTGTTATTTTTCTCAGTTTCTGTGCAGAAAAGGGAATTTAAGGAGGATTTATTTAAAAAATAAATATAAGGAATTAGTTGTAATCTCTTATGGATGAATGTTAGGATGGAAACTCATCAGGGACTGTGCAGTGGTCTTTTGAAAGCTGAGATAACATTTACTATTCCCAACTTGCTATTTAGAGAAAACTCTTTTCTCTACCTTCTCAGCTTAAATAATTCATGATAAAAATGCATGAACTGTTCCAGGCTTTCTTTTCCTAACTGGAGTTTATCTATGTTACAGCTGCATGATAGCCTGTGGTTCAAAAGAACCTGTGCTTCTTTTGAGCAAGGAAATTCAAATACTAGGAACAATTCACCCATGAGAACATGGAGCTTTGCCTCAGATTTATTCTGCTTCTCAGTGTCCCAAGCTCCACATTGACATGCACAGAAAGCTTCCAGACCCAAAATCTGGAATTAATGTCTATCGCTGTAGTACTTTCATGGTCTGTGCTGACTTGTACTCTTGTGGTAGAGCACAGGGAGACTGAATGGAGCAGGAGTGAAAGAAACTTGTACAGATGTAACTGACTGTAACTAACATGTTCCTCAACAGCTGCATTATTCTTTCCTCTTTTTAAAAGGTGGGAATATTACATTTATAGCCAAAGTAGAAGCCAAAGATCTTCTCCGAAAGCCAAATGTTAAGTGGTTTAAAGGAAAATGGATGGACCTGGCCAGTAAAGCGGGGAAGCACCTGCAGCTGAAAGAGTCCTTTGAGCGTCACACTAAGGTGTGTCTTTGCTTTTCCTTCTTATGGGGGTGAAGCTCCAAAGAGAGTTTAAAGATCGGTTTAAGACAACAGGTAGAAGTTCAAGAGCAGTGGATTCTAACCCTGGCTTCCCCACACAGATTTCAGTGATGATCTCTGACCCTGCACAGAAGCAGACTTTTCTGCTCTAACAGTGCAGGACAAGTAGTGGTGGGGAAAAAAATTGCCATTTCTGGGTTCCAGATTCTTTTCAGAATCCATTATTTGAGGTATTCTTTGCTTCTGGTTTAGAACTGAAAGACTAATGTTTTAACTTTTGCTTTGTGCAAATGTATCCCCCACATTAATGAACAATTATGTTTGATTTTTAGATTCACACATTTGAGATGCATATCATCAAAGCTAAAGAAAACTATGCAGGGAACTATCGCTGTGAAGTATCTTACAAGGACAAGTTTGATAGCTGCTCTTTTGACCTTGAAGTCACTGGTAAGGTTCCACTTGTGTCTGTAAAGTTTTATAAAGATCTCTTTCTTTTTTTTTTTTATTTGAAGTGCAACTTCATTTTGTTCAGAACCTTTAAATGGAGTAATGCTAAAGTGAACATTTTTAGCAAAAGTCTCAGAGAATTTTCTTAAATGTCTGTAATTTATTGTTTAAATGAACATTGGGATTGGACGTTGTAACATGTGAGACATTTATCCAAAAATTAGAAAAGCTGGCAGGTAAAACTAATACAGAGTTCAAATCAGGCTCTGGCACACAAGACATTTGATATCTGCTTGACAGCCCAAGGGGTGTAGTACGTGCCTATATGTACTCAGAGGTCAGCAAGGCAGAGGCAGCCTGGCTGTGGATCAGAACATTTAATCTGATTCAGGTTGGCACAAATGGGTAATTGCCACAAGGGGGCTTCCTCCTTGAACTGAGAAACAATGTGAGTCTGCAGCTGTAGAAGAAACTCTTTCCTCTGATGCTGAGTGTACAGAGAAAGCGCAAGATGCAGGCAGGAGAGAAAGCAAAAGAAACGGGAAGATGAAAAGATCAGAGCCCGTGTATAAGGTAGGAAGGGGAATGGAGAGAAACATCAGAGAAATGTCTCCTATGCAGAACTGCAGAAAGTAGTTTAGAGAAATTCGTTAATTACGCTTAGCTTAGCACTGAGCATCTTTGCCTTCATCAGAATTTAGTATCTTAGTGAGAACTTAAAGGGGAAGCACAGACTCTGGTCACTTAGCAGGAAACTGAACAAATTTCATATTCCTAATGACACTGACTATATAAATTTCATGAATTTTAAATTGTGTTTTTAATTCTTGAATTACCATTATTTCATAGAATCTTCCCAAGCTGCTCAATCCATTGACATCAGATCTGCTTTCAAAAGAAGGTAACTTCAAACAGTGACGCCGTGAAGCTCCTCAGTAATGGATACTGGTAGCATAGACAGAACTTGCATCAGACAATTGTATCAAGTACTTTAAAAAACTTGTTTTGTAAACACAGATTAAAGAAGTGGCATTTAAGGTAGTTGATAGTGTGTAGAATGTAGAATCACAGCACATGGATAGTACATTTGATATTAAATATTTTAATTAATTACAATTAAATTACAGTGTCATTGCTTTAAGGAAAGAATGCATATTTAAGAAAATTAAATATGTTTCTTTAGCAGTTTTAAAAAATATGCTTTCATTCCCTAAAATATTCTACTGCATGTTTCCTGGAAGCTGTCAGTTACAATATGAAAGACCCTGGACCCAATCCTGTGCTGATTAAAAGCAGAGAAAAAATTCACATTGATTTCAAGAAGACAGGATCTGGTTTTATGTTATCTTACAATAAGCAGTAAAGGTCATCATTAATATATTACATTTATATATATAAAATGTATAATATAATATATTATATTACAGATAATGTAAGACAAAGCATTGTCTTAAGTTTTGTTACCTTTCTGATAAAATAGCAACTCTAACCAGTATAGATGTCATCTTTATATGCTGAAATATGTAAAGAAATATAAAGAAATATACAGAAATATTCAGAATGAAAATGTTTTACAAACAGAAAGAACGCAGTTTGTTAATTTACAAGTAAAGCAGTGATTCCAAAGTCCTACTTTTATTTAGAGGGGTTTAATTTAAAGAGAAAATGCAAAAGACATTACACTCAAGGTGCACTCCTTTCTTCAGCACATTTAAAAAACCCTGCAATAACTACTCTGCCCAAGCAGATGAAGGTATCTGAGTATTTTCTGATTTTCTAAGTAATATCTTGCATGCAAAATTTGGATGAAATATTGGCATCATTTCAGTTAAGATTTGCAGTATTTTGCCCTTTTACAAATATTAAGGGCAAATGATAAGGCAATCCTGCTTAAGGTCACATTTTAGAAAGAAATGCACCTTCATAGAACTCTGATTCTATCTGTAAAAATGTACAACGGACTGTTTCTTCTTTTTTGTCACTGGTTCCTCCCTTCATTTAGAGAAAGGTTAAATCTAAATACAATGCTTTAAAGAGTAATGCTCTTCAATCAGTATTTGACACAGCTATGCATTGTTAAAAGCACCACCAAGCAATGCAAATCTTTGTTTTCTATTCATAGCAAAAGATCAGCACAAGCCCTTTGTTTTTATACACATTCACTACAGAAATGAAAAACAAAGCTGGTTGTGTTGACTAGCTCACATTTGTTTGTGTTACTGAAATCTAACACAAACCTTGGCAAATTTATGTATTTAGTTACAAAAATTTGCCATCAAAATATAATAAGAAACAATACAAACCTCTGTGTTATTTTTCACAAGCGCCTACGGAAACATAACTGATGTGAAAAAGGATACATGTTTGTGTTGATTTTATACAATTATTTGTGTGTCCGGACAGTGTTGAGTATAGAAGATCTGTAGATCATTTCCAATGTGTGTCGTCTAAGTCTTCCTGTATTAAACAAAGATTTGATCTTTTTTCTATTAATAACAGCGGTGAAGGACAAGAGGATGCAGGAGAACTTGACTTTAGTGGTCTCCTGAAACGTAGGTGAGAACCAAGTGATGCAGTGAGCAGGTGTGGATTGCAAACCGTTAGGTTCGCACACAGAAAGAGTCAGGTGTAGCATTAATAACTTCTTAAGAATTTTCTGACCTTTCATTTTTTTAATGTTTCTAACTATTATTTTCATATTATAATATGCAAATATTCAGTTAATTTTGCCTTCAAGTGTGCAGAAAAGAAACCTCAGATTTAAGCGCACTGGGAAAAAAAGTGAGCCACAACCTAAAGAGGCAAATAACATTTAATTCACTTGCTATTTCTTTTGTGTTTGCATGGAAGGTGGAGCGGGGGGAAATTTCCTACACAGGGATGAGCAGTTCAGAAAATTGAGTCTGGTGCAAAAATAAAAAACTGCAAGGGTTAAATTTACCTCTTTGGGTACATCTTAATTTGATTTTATAAGTATCCTGATATTAAAAATCATATATCATGTTTCCAAGCCATAAGCATTGGTATTAATTCTTTGTAGCTTTTAGTTTCAATATGTGCACACAAATGCTCAGTCATGTTTTATTCAACTTAAATGCTTTGATGGAGAAAAAATTGGGCACTTGTTTCTCTGGTTTGCTTCGAAAATCTGGTGTTATGGTAGTTGTATCTCTAGCTATTTCAGATCTTAAACCCACTTTAGAGTTTTACCAGGTTAAGACAAAATAGTTCGTAATTTTTCAAAATTTACCACAGAAATCCTATATGCCATGTAAAACAATGGCAATTAATCACAGAGAACTGGAAAAGGAACTAAATCCTCTATCTCATCTACCACTTACTCTGAAAGAGGAAAACCCCATAAGCAGTATTAATTACATTAGAAGTTCACAGCAGGCTCGTTGGCTTTGAGGGTGAGGATAGCATTTAAGCAACTAAAGCAAACAGGAAAAGCTGAAGGTAAAAGTGGACAGGGAAAGAATTACCTGAGCCAATTCCAATCCACCAGGTCTTTGGTTTTTTAATCTTCTCATCCCTAACTAGGATCTTCAGTTTGACTTTTTATATACTAATACAACTTACCATGCCAGTTCTCATGACTGCCTGTGGGGTAATTTATTAGCGACACGAGAGTTGCATGTAAGAGGTCTTGGTGTTTTTGTGGAAAGAGAAATGAGATTTAAGAGGCATTATCACTTCACTAACAAGTAACTCATATGTTTTGTAAGATAAATACTGTATAGCCATATAAACATAGTATACTTATTGTGTGGTTAATGGATAAAGCAAATGTTTAGTTTTTAAACACCATTATTTGACATCAGTCAAATTGGTTCATCACCTCCTTGTTTCAGGCACTGAAATGCAACCTCACATTTCTGAGCTTAATTGAATGAAATTCTTAATTAAGCCACATTGTGGATATTAATATCTGTGTGTGGATATTAACATCCACTATTATGAAGACAAAGAGATGTTTTCATTCCAATTTTTTCAACAGGCAATGTCGGAGGTGCATTCCTTCTCTTTTGTACCAAGGTGCATCCCTGGGTTATATAACCAAGGAAGGACCTAGAACTTTTCACCTTTGGTGCATACTACTTGAAACATGTTTTTTTTTTTAAAAAAAACTAAATGCATAGAATTTATATACTATTTTCTAATTTCATGCTGGTTGGCAGGCAGAAAACCCAGTTCTTATCTCAGTAAGCCACTCCATGACTGGTTATGCTTAATCAGTGCAATGCATCAGTAATGGCACAACATTCCAGAAGGCACAAGATCTCAAAAACACTCAAACATTTGGGTCCCTTTTTTTTTTCTTTTAAAAAGGACATCTTTCAACAAAATGCACATTTTTAGGATAAAGATCTGAAAGTGATCTTGTGAGGTCAGTCTGCTTAGGAAATACCAAGCACTGTTTTCCCCCTACCCTCAGCAGAAACTACTGAAGTCTAAGAACAAAGTGTCAAAATTTGTTCTCCAGTAATGCAAGAGGAAAATGAACCTGGAATCATCGTTTCAAGCTGGTTGAAAATCAGGATTCTCTAACAGATCCTCATTCTCAACCACTGCCTGATTCAAAGGGGTACATTATCTCGATTCCCACAGAGATCACCTCTCCTTAGCACGGACAGGCATTGCACGGCTTGTGGCCAGCCCTGGGAGAGGAGAATGCACCCCATGGGGTGTGTCAGCTTTTATATATGTTTGCAAACTGATCTCAACTTGCTGCCATGCAGAAGGAATCTCACTGAAATGCCAGTGTTCACCGTACATAGTCACCCTCCAGAAAGCATGAGATAAAAGCAGGTAAAAGTGACAGGAACAAAATATAAAATTATATATCTGAGGTTGTGTAACCATAATTCTAAGATAGCAATGAAAATATTTCAAAGACTGCTCGGGGAGAAGCTTTCTTCCTTTTTAAAATAACTCTGACATATTACGAAAATTAAAAAACCTCATGGACTAAACAGCAAAGTGGTTTTCCATAGTTCCTCATCCAACATAGGGATTCTCAGGGATCCCTAGTGCTATTCCTGTATATGTCAAAGAAAATCCTCTGTCAGACTCAATAGAGCTCAACTCTAACAGTGTCTCACAGCAAAGCTCAGTCTTTCTTTATTTCTCAAAAATTTATTTTCTCACTCTGTTCTCAAAAGTACTGATTTTGTTAGACCAGCTAGATCAAATCAGAATGATACTGGTCTGATCCTAGTGAATTTACAGGAAGAAAAATACAGATTTCTGCTCTAATTCCTGGATTGTTCTAGCAGTTAACTTTTTTGAGCTAAACTTTAAGTCTGAAAAATTATCATCACTGTTCTCTCATTTAATAGTTGCCATTGTGAAAATAATCGTACTTCTCTTTATTGGTTATCTTAGCCTGGAGTTGCAGATAGTAAACACAGTATTGAAACTTCTAAAGGTGATGCCTCACACAGGCCTCTGAAAACTTTTCCTGCTCTTAAGACTGAGATGCAGATCCATCCTTCAAGTCCAAGCTGGTGTGGAAATGTCCATTTCCTATTCATATGACAACTTCAAGTAATGCTGAGAAGCACTGGTATAACTATAAACAGACACAGATTCCCCTGTATTCTAATGTCCTTTCATTGGTAACTCAAAGTAGCAGTTACAGGGACTCAGGGTTGAAAGCATTTTTACATAATTATGACATGCACAGATTAGACTCAGCTCTCAGAGGTGCCATCATAAATTGTAACTCAAGTTACTCAAGTTACAGAAGATAAAACTGATTTAAGTGGGATTAGCCTGTATGCTATTATAGTACTACATTTTTCAAACTATATATATTTTTGAAGTAACGAAGCAATATAAAAATCCTCATAACTGATTGTATCAGAAAAGGCCAAATTAAAACTTATATCTAAATTCTCACTCGAAGAAGTGTAAAGTCAGGTGTGAACGTCATTCTGAGCTATTCTACTCGTTCTGAGTGAAATAAAAAAAAAAGGTGGCAGCCTTCAAATTTTAGTCAAAACATTTCTAGCCTCACCATAGACTCAGCTTCACCTATTTTTATGGTGTGATAACCACTAACTCCTCACCCGTAATTTTATTTTGCTGATGTTAGGGAGGTTAAACAACAAGAGGAAGAACCTGAGGTAGACGTGTGGGATCTCCTGAAGAACGCGAATCCCAGCGAATATGAGAAGATTGCTTTTCAGTACGGTATCACTGACCTGAGAGGAATGTTAAAGCGCCTGAAGCGGATGCGCAGGGAGGTGAAGAAGAGCGCAGGTATGGATATGGGAGAATATTCTTATGCTCATTAGTCAAACATGACCATCTACCTTAAAAACCCAAATATGCTTCATTTCCACACAAGGGAACTTGCACACTACAACTCAAGCCTCATTACTGCAGGGAGTTAATCAGTCGCTTTGTTCCACTGTGGATAGTATAAGCACCTTGTCACATTCAGTGCTTACCAAAAGCACCCTTCCCTCTCAGGCAAACATTAGTTCCATCTGGAGCAATGTCTCTCAGTTGTGTGGAAAGGTGTCATCTGATCAAACAATATGGAAATTAGACCTTGTGCTATCATCAATATCTTCTACTCCAAATAGAGGTCACTGCAAACATGTTGTTTGCTTTTCATAGTTTCATTTTGCACTAAATCTACATTCCTTGGAAATCCCAGCTGTACTAAAACCCCTGCACTCTGCACTGGGTGGGGATATTCAGGCCTGTCTTTCTCCATCTACCCTATTGAATAGTATGAGTGGTGTAATTATATGCAGAAATATAAATATGCGTTTCTATGTATGTATGTATATGTGTGTGTATAAAATATATGTATATGTCACATAATACATCTACACACACATATAAATACTACACACTGTCCATTATGTTGTTGTGGCTTCTGCTTGTTCCTGGACAGCATTTCAGAACTGGATGCAATATATACATTTAGTGTTTCACTGGATTCCTGGAGGAGTCTCTTCTGAGTAGGTGAAGTCCTCCATAAATCCAGCTGTAATTCAGCTTCCTGATATACACTCTCTTCTTATCCATTACCTCACATCATAACATGTGTTATGCTACTACATATTAGTTTTTATTTGTATTTTTCATTTGCTGGTATATTTTATTCAGGCCTCATTGAGGGAGAGAGGAATGGAGTCAGTGGGCTTTGGCTGAGCCACTGGGGCAGTTTTTGTATCCAGTAAAGCTCTCTATGCAGCTGAAGCCCAAGGAAACACCTCATCTTCCCCCAGGAGTCTGGAGCAGAAGGGAGGGTCTGGTGGGTCTGGAGGTTGGAACAGGAATTGTGTGGCTGGGAGGAAGAGCTTCTCCCTACCCAGGTGCATCACATAGAAATGCCTGAATGTTTCCTGGGAAAGAGGCATCTCTCTGCACCTGTGACCAGTCTTGTCTGGCCCCTCTCCCCCATTCCCTTTGGAGTAGGATGGAGCTGCCAGCTAAAACAGGATTTTTTTTTCAGTGGACAGGGTTTTCCCTACAGGAAGGGCTCCAAATATTGGGGAAAATGCCTATAGTAGTGACAGGAGGAGAGCAGGGCATTTTTCCCCTCATGCCACCTTTATTATAAATTGGAAACTTTTTATACTGCAACAAGATACATAAAAAATCCTTTTCATATTTAATAACTCTACTCCTGTTGTGTTTGATACATTCTGTCTCCTGTAATCAAATACATGCATGATATAAACCTTAGCAGAAACTGGTTACTTAGCTGTGGGCAATTTGTTTGTAGTACCATTTAGTTATTTATTTTGGGCCCACAGATGTCTGCTCTCTGGGCCTGACTTCTGTGTCTGGCAATGTCAAAATGTTGATTCTAAAGTGTTTTGAAATATTTGAGTTGCATATGGCCTTACCTTGGCCACAACAACTTGGCCTACAGCAAGCTGTAAAAGCTAAATCTACCCCATCCTATTCAGAATACAGTCACACTGCAAAGTCATGAAGAGCTACTAGCCTGAACTTGGTCAGGATAATCAGATCTGCATAGCTTTGTACTTATTCTAGTGTTTCTGGAAAATAATCTGATTCTATGCAGACTAGTGTAAGAATACAGAGTGATGCATAACATTGTGTGCATGTATTCTCACAGCTTTGATGAGATTTATGCAATGTCATTTCAGCATTCATTCTTATTTTTCTGATCTCATTTTATAATAACACTTGATTTCCATAACAGCTTTTGCCAAAGGTCTCGATCCTGCATATCAGGTGGACAAAGGAGGTAAAGTAAGATTCATGGTGGAGCTTGCAGACCCAACAGTGGAACTCAAGTGGTATAAAAATGGCCAAGAAATACGACCAAGCGCAAAGTAAGTGATTTTATCATATGTAAGCAATAAAATGGATATACGTGTACTTCCTTGACAAGAGTGTTGCTTAGATCTCTCTCTTCACTCAGCTTGCACCAATTTTATTCCTGAATTTCATTAGATGTGAAGACTATGCAAATGATGCTATATTGTTCATGACCCAGAAAAGTCCACTGTAGGCAAAACGTAATGCAGATCGACTCCTTTGTCTCAAGAGATCCTCAACAAACCATGGTGCCATTTCCTACTCAGTAGTTTTTAAAAAAGCAGGAAGAACTGCGAGTAAATAAATTGCTTGTCCTCGGTCCTATGTCCAAAGGTGGACATAATCTTTCTGCAGTAATTGTGTGCTGAGAGGAGAGATGTTTGACATCACATACTTACCCACCTTGCTCATAAACCACCTGGCAAAAAGGGTGTGAGGTTTGTCTCATTTTCTACTATCCAGTTAATTTTAACATAAAGAAGTCACCAATGTTTTCTATCAGTCATGTGCAACAGGTCTAATGTACCCAAGATTCTTCATCTGTAATCACCTCAATTGGTTTACTCTCTGACCTTACCTAGAAGAAGTGGTCTTTCAGGTGCAGACATTTGAGTACCTGTAGAGCAATGGCTGAAAGTTGAGCACAGTCCCTCCTGTGGGCGCAACCAGCTCTTACAACTGGTGCAGAAAACCCCATTCCACAGTCAGACACAGCTCAGAATGATGATGTGCATAACAATGTAATGCTCCTCAAACATTTCTCAGCAGCACAAAATCCTAGTAACTTTTTCCTCTGGTCCTGTGAAAAAAAACCCAGTAAATAACAACAGCCCTCTTTCAGAGAAAGGGCAGATTTCCTTCATTCTCTTGATGCAAAAGTCAATGAAGGATTTTGATTAATCTTCATAATTGGCAAAAAAAAATGGATAATAAAGAGGGTACTGTTTCCTTAGCCCCTTTATCTGCCATGAACAGTTCAGAACTGTTTTTCAGGCAGCTCTATGGATACCTCTCCAGCAGAAGGGCCTGGGTTGAGTGCTCCAATGCATTTCTACCAGGCTGCTGAAGCAGCTGTCAGACGCTAATGAGCTTTGGTCATTACAAACCTGGAGCAGATCTAAACCAGTGACATAAAGGTGAAAGGCTCCATTACCAAAACCCCATATCCCATTACTGATATCTTGTGCCATCTGGCCTACCAACAATATTAACTTCTTAACTTTGGCTATTATTATACTTCACAAAAATGTTGGAATGAGTGATGGTGTCCTCTTACTAGTTATTTTCAGCTTTACTCATCTAGAGTTTCAGACTCCATTTTATTTGCCATCATTCCATGCCTGCTCTCTCTTTTTTTTTAATTTGTGTTTTTTTCATATCACCCAAGTTTGGAATTTTGGAACAAGCCAGAAGGAGCTCACTGTCACTCTACACCATAGCTCTTTTTGCTAGAAGTCTATGACAGCACTGTTAAAACTTGGAAATTGCTTCCAAGGACAATTTTTCCAGTACTGTGCAAACCCCAGAATTTTTGCCTCTAATAATCCCTAAAGGACTTTCTACACAGAACAAAAGGGGCCCAGCAGTTTTGCTAACATATCTTTGCTGCATTCCCATTCAAACAGATACATTTTTGAGCACAAAGGCAACCAGCGAATTTTATTCATCAACAACTGTTCGATGACAGACGATGCTCGCTATTACGTAACAGCTGGTGATGAGAAATGCTCCACAGAACTGTTTGTGAGAGGTAACTATGTCAGCCTGATGCTCTTTCATGTGCCGTAAATTGATGTGGCTCTTTTGGCTGCAACAGAAATTAACAGGGAGGATCTGGTTCAGTATATTTTTGTATTTGTATTAGCAGCCCTTAGGATTATTCTGTATTTCTGTGATCCCTGGACATTTTGTTTTACTCATCCTGTGTTCAGTAACTTAGTGAAAACCCTGAAATAGGGATATGGTTGATTTTATACTGTGCATAGGGATCTAGTGGGGTTTGTGGAGTTCTTATGAGTTTTAAGCCATTTTGGAGACTTGTGTGTCATAACATTTCCCTAACACCACACTTAGGTACCTGAGGATTTTGATACTATTAGTCCAACTAGTCTGTTTGAAGTACTCTCAGATCAGGCTTTCTAGCAGTTAGTTTTCATTCTGCCTGCGCTAATTTAAGGGAAGACTCTGTCAAAAATTATGAATGGCTGGCCATATCTTCACTCTCTTTGCTCCCTTGGTTCTGATTACTCACATGTGTACAACAAAACAAACAGAAAAATTCAGTGAGAGAAAAGAAAATCATAAAATATTTCAAAAATCTTTTTAAAATAATGGAGTCCATTGCACCTATAAGCAGCATAGGATAACTGTTGTACAGTCTCTCGCTATTAAATAAACTTGAGTTATGACATCAGGAATGGATTAAGCCAATAAGGTCACCATGATATTCTATCAGGTCATCTTATTGTGCAAAATGAGCTATAGAACCTAATAAAAACCCAGTTTTATGAGAGGGATCTGTGGGAGGCAAGAGGGGAATGTCAGCTTCTCATGTCAAACTGCCTGGACAAACTGTTAACAAAATGGGATGCAAGGCAGGTATTAATATGAACAACTATATTGTTTTTTTTATTTAGCACATTTCCCACTATCATCTTAATGAGCAACCACTTTTCTGATTTAAGACAGAAAGAGCTGCCTTGATACCCTTATTAAAATTTTAAAGTAGTATCACCTTCTACCGCATGATTTAGAAAACCTCTCTCACTTAGTTTTCTCTCTCAAATCATAAATCTGTAACTTAATCTTTCCAAAGATCCTCCAATTTTGGTGACCAAAGGCCTGGAGGATACCAGTACCTATGTTGGTGAACGAGTAGAACTGAGCTGTGAAGTATCTGAGGATGATGCAAATGTGAAATGGTAAGCCACACGTAGTTTTTTCCTTGAGAATAAAACACGGAAAATTTTAATTGTGGGCAAAAATGTGGGCAGCTTTTTCTATACCAGTAAACCTGAAAATTGTCAAGAAAATCTCAATAAAACATTATTCAAAAATGTATCCTTATACATTCATGGATGCATTTGTTTACTCTTTTCTTGTGCCTTAGAGTCTTGTAAAGTCTTCTCTGGCAGTTTCAGTCTATGGAAGTCTTATTTGTACAGGACTTCTATTGGAAAATTAATTATTCTTTGTTTTTCCATAGGTTTAGGAATGGTGTAGAACTTACCAATGATCCTAAATCTCGGTATCGAATCAAGGTTGAGGGTAAAAAACACACTTTGATCATAGAGGAAGCTGCAAAAAATGACACTGCAACTTACTCAGTTATGACAACTGGAGGGCAATCAGAAGCCAAGCTTGCAGTTGACTGTGAGTATCATCCATCTTGCTCTTGAATTCATATATCACAGTTTGCTGGCATACAGAAATAAATAATTTGCTTGCCTTTCCCTGGGGGTTTAAAGAGAGACTTAACCTTCACACCAATTTCTTTGCTGCAAATTTCCAGAACAGTGACTTCCCTTTAAACACTGTTTGCAGTAGCAGGCAATGAACTAGTTCTGCTTACTATCACTCCATTAAGGTGGAAAACAAAGCAATCCATCCAAAGATACAATAGGTCAACAAAGTGAAATTTGCAAGGAAAGTATCTTCTTTTCCTGAATCCTTTCAGGTTTTCACAGGAAAGCCAAACCTAGGCACAAACACATGACTGCGTAGCCTCCTCAGCTTTGTGCAATATCTCTTTAGAATATCTGTGTTTTTTAACAAAATGTATCTATCTGTCCTCTAAAGTTTTCATGCATTATGCATAAATGTACACTTTTTTTTTTAATACTCATGCTGCTTTTGACTATTTTGTACAAATTGGCATCCTAACAAATTCATGCTATTTTATTATCAAGTTGGAAATTATCCTCCATGGCTACTGAGCTCCATCACCTTTCCTTTCTTGCAACTTCTTCTGAGGAATTTCCAACCATCTTTCTACAAAACACTGCCTTTCCCACGGGTCTTTTTTCTGTGCCAGATTATAGCCAGGGATATTTATTGCATACAGATTAAATGTTCAGCCTGGACTCTGCTCTGCAGCATCCAATCTTCCAGAAAGTGGAAGTGTACTAGGGTACCAGTTCTCAAACTCAAGTTTTATAAAAGCCAGTAATATCTGTGGGCCTTCATAGGGTGAGTTAAGGCACTTCAGCAAACATGAGAACCAGTAGTGTATGAAGTTAAGCTTACTGGCCAGTCAGCCTTTGCCACAGCCTTGATTGCAGCTCGATCATAGGAAAGGTGGGCTGTAATTCCTTCTAGTGCATAGATCTGGGGAGCCGGGTCATTCACTTCTTGAAAGTTTCTTATGGGTCTGGGGGATAGAAACACCCTTCCTCCAGCACCCAAACATCAGAGAGGGGACAGCATGCAAATTATGCTCCTGGGCTTAGTTCTTCTACTGGCAACATCCATAGAGTTTCCCCATTCAGGGTATTTTGGATCATTTTTTCTAAGACATCAGACTACATGAAGAGAGTTAATTTATGGTGCTTACATGTTCATATTATCGGTATTTCAACTTGACAACTTCATTATTGGAGGCATTTTTCTGTTTTGAAGTCTGTTGTGCTGGTTAGCATAAGCTCTGTGACAGAATCAGGAGCTGCTGTTTGTTATCACCATTAATATCTCTGCTTCTGTTTTCCTAAGTGAGACCACTGAAGATATCACTTGCACTAGAAGATCAGACTGTGAGGCTTGGACAGGAAATCCACCTGAAGTGTGAGATATCTGAGAACGTGGAAGGGAAATGGTACAAAAATGGACAGCTGATTGAAGCTAGTGACCGTGTAAAGCTTTATCACAAAGGAAGGTAAGCCTATTAAGTATTGACTTGGCTTTTGATGCAATGACACTGTAGAGATGAGCCAATATATGGGTTACTTCACTGAAAATTATTTGCTAATCAAGCTAACCTCTGTCCCTCAAAACATATATTTTTATCATCTTAAAAGCCATGTCTCCTTTCTTCTTTTAATCTTGGGTATTCTGGCCATGGAGGAAAATAATCAAGTCCTTGATCCATCTAAGTTCAAGCTATTAATTTTTCTTGACATTGCTGTTGCTGTTAGCATGGGATCTTAAGTAGTAAAGTAAAATAATTGTTAGGCACTATTAAGAATACATAGCTTTTAAATGACTCTTTTTCTCATAGCTCCTCGGACCATGTAACTCTGCCCATTCAAAGTTTATGGAAATGTCAAGTTTCTTTGCTTTTATAAGTTGTCCTTTGTCATGTGAAGTAAGAAACCACAAACCACAAACAACCTTCAAAACCCCCAAAGCAGGTCCTACCTTTAACTGCACACCCTTCACCATTCATACAGCTGGGAACTGCTCTTGTGAAGGCACTCCTAAGCTGGCTTTGAAATGTTTGCATCAACTCCCTAACAATCCCTAAGTAGCAGTAAGTGTCAAGTGCCAGCTGTGCAATGGCCTCTTGGATTGACATTAGGTGAAGGAGCTCCCCACAAGTCATGCAGACCCATAGTCTGAGGTGAAGGAAAGGGGAGCAGGGAGGACAAAGAGTGGAGTCCTACCTTGAACAAAGCTAAGCCACAGCAGGTCACAGTATTTAATCAGCTAAAATACCACTAAGTGACCATAAAAGGATTTTTAGTCGATAATTTGGTACACTTGCACAGATCTCCTAAACTTTTCAGAGATTTTTCCTTACAGCTCCAAGCAGTCTTCAGAAATAATTTACGTTGATTTCTTTTTCAATTTTTTACAGAATACACAGATTTGTTATACCAGCTTCTGCTGTTGATGATGAGGGTGAATACATGTTTGTACCAGATGCCTATAATATTAATATTCCATGCAAAGTACATATTGTGGGTAAGTATATCGAACTTATATATAACCTCTCTTTCCCTGAACTTTGGAAATTAAAAGCAGCATGAAATATCCTTGATTACAATCACTTAGTATCCTCTGAGGAGGCATATACCAGAGAAAACAGACCTGCTGCTTTGGCAAAGCGCAAGTGAGCTGGTTGGAGAGTTCTTTTCCTGTCCTCAGGACCTGCTCATAGTTTACACACTGGGGGGAGCTGAAGGATTCTTGACATTGAATTACTGAACTTAAGCCACTATTAAAAGTTTGTGTAAAATATCTGGTGCTATTCACTTCTCAAATATATTGTTTTGTCTTTGAAGAACTGTCTCACTAACATTGCAAAATATGATTTAGTTTGGTAAAAGATTAGTAGAATAAGCAATATTTATCTATTCAGTGAATACATTACATGCTATCTAAATGGAAAAAAGTTTCCAGCCAGCTTTCATTCATTCAGTAAAACAGAAGGCTTGTTAATGATCCCAGTCCTTCAAACAAAAATAAAACAAGGCATTGACTCTTCCCACAAAAATACCTCACCAGCTTCTAACTGCAACCAGCAACTTGGAAGTCAAAAGGAGAGCGATACAAATTACCAAAGTTTTAGAAAACATGTTCTTTAATTGAAGCTGAAAGAACTGCAATTTCTGTGTTAGAAAAAGTATTGGTAAGATTTAGGGAGAATGAAAAGGGAAGTGGTACTAGAGGGGAACACCCACCGCTATATTTGCAATATGTTAAAAAAATTTGTAAGAGGATATTCATCAGTTGTTCTCCATACCCATGGGGTACAATAAGAGTGATAATTTCATTTTCAGGAAAGCATATAGGTTAAGAAAACTTTATAATTGTAAGAACAGTGAAGTCTGAAGCACGGTAAAAATGTGGCAAAAAGCCTGCAATGGAAATTCTCTTAGAAATTCACTTAGAGAAAATCTTTCTCAGAAGTTACCTGAATATACATAATTCTGCTGCAGGAAAATATTTTTTTTTCTATATGGTCTTACTATTCCAAAATCTCTATGGTGCCATGATTTCTTTTTCATCAGATAACTGTTTTCTTAAATAGATTTTCTTCACAAATTCTTTTCCAAACAAAAAATCAGTTGCCTAGAAAAAACAGGAAAATGTGAAACATAGAGCATGTTTCTTTATGTTGCAGACCTGTGTCAGGTCACTGAACTCTCAGAGCAGCAGCTGAATGACACATTTGGACGATCTCTCCTTTTTCAGATCCTCCTAAACTTCACCTGGATGGTCTTGGGGAAAATAACACTGTTACAGTAGTGGCAGGAAGCAAACTACGACTTGAGATCCCTATCACTGGTGAACCAACTCCAAAAGTCGTGTGGAGTAGAGGTGACAAGGTACATTGTCATCATACACATTTCTTTAGCTCAACAAGGAGCCTTTTTCTTCAAAAAATAACCTTTAGCCTCGTGAATACATTGATTTTATCAGAAGAAAATAAGGGGAAGATGCCCTTTATCTAAAAACTCTCTTTGGTCAAGGATAAAATAGATAAATATTATTTAGTATTTTTGAGTCTTTTTAAGGAAATGCTGAAATTAATGAATGAAAAAATATGGGTTTTCTATAAATTAATAGTAAAGGAGAAGGATACATGAGATGCAGAAAAAAACTAGAAAAAATCTACCAAATGGCTGCTTCTTCTATACATACTGCCCAGAATGGCTGCCAGGTTTTGACAGGAAGCCGTGATATGTTCTGGTTTTGGAAAATGAATGAAAAATTCTAATGGAGTGTCAAGTCTCAAATGAAACAATACACTGGGCGATTGGCATCTTGCATTTGGTGTCTTAATGCAAAACTTTTGCACAGATCAATCCCTGGCTGTGTAAATACAAAAAAAGTCACTTTTTACATATAAATTTCCATTGTGGTATGTGGAAGCTGGAACATGTTATTGCTACTACGTTCAACAGACCTGTCTGGTCAAATCTGTGACAACTATTTTTCAAATATTAATTTGAAAATTAATTGTGGTGTCCAAATAGGGAATTATTCCAAGAGAGCTCCTACTCCAAAATATGTGACAGCATTTGAAATATGTGAGGACAAACTACTGACCATTACAGTCACTCTGACCTTTAAAGTGAATTAATTAAATTTTTATTTGACTTTTAGAAGAATCCACTATTTTTTTTTTCCATCAAATTAATGTCAGATGGTGTTAAAAAAGTGTGTTCTTGCTCACAGGACAAGTAAGCCTAGTGCCTCATCCTTTATGGTGCAATGGCTGAACTGAGTACTAAACAGTTACCACGCTATACTTATTTTTTAGTTATTTTGTCATTTTTTGTCATCATTAGGTGACTAAAATTCTGAATTTTACTGTGTTTTTTCTTACAGTTGCTTTAGGAATTTTTCTGAACTTTAAGAATTTTTCTTGAATTTTGATTTTTGTCTTTTATTGTCAAATACAGAAAACATGACTTTTGCCTCTGTTTACCTTGATTCCTAGGGAATCACGGACAGCGGAAGAATACGGGCAGAAACATATCCAGACAGCAGCTGCCTGGTCATTGATACAGCTGAGAGGGAAGATTCAGGTCCTTTCAGAATAACTTTAAAGAATGAGGCTGGAGAGGACACAGCTCTAATCAACATCAAAGTGGTTGGTAAGTCATGTGGAACTGTGCATATGAGCCATGTCTTTTATCACAGCCATTGTCAATAAATGCTCCTTGAAGACCCACACTTTTATGCACTCCAACAGGAGACAAATTCTTCTTCTCCTATCTGAAGGTTCTCTTCTGTAGATGCTGTCCTCCCTAGCTACCAAACTGTTACAGATTCTCAGAAAACTTCCATTTACCTCTTTGTCTCCACTGTCAGGTGAGGAATTGAGATGTAAGGGTACTAAGGCTCACTGTTACTGAAGGACACAGGAGCTTGGCAAGGGATTTAAGTAGGAGTTAATTATCACTCTGCTGTCACTTCATGCTGCAGGGACCAAACTTCTGTAGTTCCCTTAGGCTGCCCTTATCATTCTTTGCTCTCTATTCTCCTTATGGCTGTGGGCTCTGTCTTACCATATGTCCTCAAGTGCCTCTATAGTGTCTTGACTGTGCTGAAGAACTTGGCACTTATCCGTTCCCAACCGCCAGACAGGATTCACAAACGTTCTTTTTCTCTCTCTTCATTAGGAATTCCTGTTGCACATCAAAAACTATTCATGTTTGTTTCTTATTTTACATTTTTAATTCAAACTATGCAGTAAGAAGAAGATTTTTTAACATAATATTTACTTTGTTTACAACAGATGTCCCTGATCCTCCTCAGGCACCAAACGTGACTGAGGTGGGTGAAGACTGGTGTATTATGACCTGGGAACCTCCAGCAAATGATGGTGGATCACCCATCTTAGGTACTTTTTTTTTTTGTGTGTGTGTGGTGATGTTCTAATATAGACAAAAGAAACAAAGCCCAAATAATGGATGAAATAGGATCAGAGTTTAGCTCAGGCCCTGGAGGGTTGCACTGGGAGTATCCAGTTGCAACAATGTTCTACCTTCTCTTTGACTTTATCGGAAATTTGGTTTTTTTAATGAGTTGCATTTTGTCATTTTGTATGTTGCCACACTATCAAGTTCCCTACTTGAAAGACAACCTCCTATAAAACAAAACTTGGAACTGTTATTAGCCTGTTTGAATGTTAGAAAGAATTTCAGAAACAACTTACTGAGTAAACTGGAATATCTTCTAATACACTGTACCAAGAGGAAAGGCCCAGAGGCCAGTAGACTCAGGCCCTTTTCACTCTGAACTAAACACAGCAGTGTTGTATGTGAAGTCCAAAAAATGCTCATATGTGGCCATGAAAGCAAAGCAGGTGACTGTCAGATAGCTTGCAATTAGCAAAATCTAGCAATTATCCCTAAATCACTCTGAGGCTAGAAGGGGATATGGAGGTGTATCCAGAGAAAAATGCCATTGGGAAGTCAAAAACCAGACCCTTCACAATTGACCTTTATGCCATCACTTACTATAATAAAATTTTGTTTGGTCAATAGGATATTTCATTGAGAGGAAAAAGAAACAAAGCTCCAGGTGGATGAGGCTGAATTTTGAACTGTGTAAAGAAACAACTTTTGAGCCAAAGAAGATGATTGAAGGTGTTGCTTACGAGGTCCGTGTATTTGCTGTTAATGCAATAGGCATGTCCAAACCAAGTATGCCTTCAAAGTCCTTTGTTCCTTTAGGTAAGTAATCAAGAGCACAGAGACAGGCATGTATTTAGAACACAATTATTAATACATTATTATAGTCCTTTAATTATATAACTGTAGTTCTTGTGGCACTTGTGTTGCTCAGGACCTGTCTTTATGAGGTGCTTCATAAAGTACATGTCTATCCCTGGAACTACAGTCTTTTATAAACGAGACAAGCATGCATAGACAGAAGAACGGTGCACTAAAATAAACCAGTGTTACTATAGGTGAGCCTGATATGGTCAGTACTGCAGTCAATGTGTTTTAAGGACCAGAACTAATAGTTCCACATTTTCGTGTATCTTAGACACATCCTGAATCAATAGAGTCAAACTATTGCCAGTCAAACCAGTAACTTCAAGAATAGGTAAAGATGATGAATCACAGGCAATCACTGGCTTTTGGCCAAAAATGGTCAGGAAAAATGAGAAGTCTAAAGATCACTATTTGCAGGCTGCACTGAGTGAAAATGAGGCTTTCTTTCACATTTCTCTATTTAGGCTTTGCTACACAGTAGCTTGCCATTTTAAAACGTACAGGTAGTCACAAATAATTCATACATTTCCATTTCTAAAAAATTACAGGTCATAAAGGTAGAAACCCATGGGAAAAAATTTGCCCAATTTTGCAACTAATCACAGGATAAGATACATTTGAATAGTCCCTAATTTCACTCTATGCCTCATGGATTCCCCATTAGCTTAAGCAGGGATTTTTTTCCCAGAAAGGAATCACGTATTTTTAATATCCTTTTGCAGACAATCCTGATTTATACTATTCTAAATGTCATCTTACTGCTTTTTATTAATGTAACAGCTAGGAGGCCTTGTCATTCACCTAGTGACAGACTAATTCTGTTGCCTCTTCATATAAAGAAGCAGATTTTCAAGCTATTATGACAACCACAAGTCCCTGTAAAAGAGGGGTGTCTTTTTCTGTAGGCCAGGAAAGGTTCCCACCTTGCTCCGCAGCACACCCAGAACAAAGAGGAGAGGGAAGAAGGTGGCTGTTACTGCTACAGCATGCTCGCTTCTTGACAGAAAATACCTGCTATGGTAGAATACACTGCTCTATCTTCCACAGCTCTTTATCCTTCTCTCTCCTCAGCAGGAGGAATTTATCTCTGGCTTAGGCTGTGAGCAGATATGGGATGAGGTAGCTGCTTCTCCTCATGTGGTCCTAGTCGAAAGAAAGCTGTGCCAGGGATGATTTGAAATCATCCTGGTAGGCAGGATTTAGCCTGTCACCTGTGATGCTAAATTAAAGGAATACAGACCATAAATGTAAACCTTTAATTGTAACACAGTTTTCTGCCTTCTCCCTTCTGCTTGCTTGTTTCAGCTGTCACCAGCCCACCGACTCTCCTGGCAGTGGACGGAGTGACTGACACCTCGGTGACAATGAAGTGGAGGCCGCCCGACCAGATCGGAGCGGCGGGGTTAGACGGCTATGTTGTAGAGTACTGCTTTGAAGGAAGTAAGTGGGAACGCCTGGGGTATGTTACTCATGGTGAAAGTAGGTGAGACTTTCTCCATTTTCTCTCTGCGGGTATCAGGTGCTCTCACTGTAAGGCAGAGACTAATCAGTCAGAAAACCTCAAGCAGCAGGGTTTTGTTCAGGCTTCCTTTGGTTTGTATTCCAGATCCCACTCATTGATTGTAGTTCAACACATCTTATATTTGATCTGAAATCCAAATCAAAAGCCATATAATCTGTTGCAGTGTACCAAGTACTGTGTTAATAGCTATCCTCTTTTAGAAGCTGTGACAGTCAAGGCAGCAAAGAGCGGATGGATGCATGAATGTATAAAAAATAATGAGTGCGGTCCAAAATATGTTCAGGTGGGTTTTAGGGACAGGAAGTCCTCAGTGTGGTAATCCCTACGTTGACATATCACTAATTGGCTACTTCAAGCACAAGTCCCCAACACTAAGTTTCCTGTAGGAGATGCAGACATGTAGACATGCAAAGTTTATGTCTAGATATTTAATTTCTCCAATGTTTCAGTGCAGCCTTATATGGGATCTTCAACTATGTCTGCCTAAGACAAAAGTTGATACAGAACTGAAGGAGACAGATAAAGATACCAGAGATTGCATAAATATTTGAGAGTAGGGAAATACATTTTACAATTAATACATCGTAAATATTGTCTTTGGTGATCAAGCAGCAGAAACTTAGTATTTTCTAGCAGATTTTTTTCTGAACTGGCATCAAATGAAGTTTATTCTCAAAAAGTAAAATCCACCAGCACGTGGGTAAGTATAAAATAGCCTGGAGTGGTATGTGCAATACCCAGCCTCTGCGGGCCAACACCATCAACTGCAGCAACATTGTGGATTAATGGGACACAGATATCTTCAGCTCCACTAGCTGCTGCTCTCAACTGTGCTGTAAATCAAGTTATGATTTACATAACTTTTTTCATGAAGCCATTTGTTTCAATGAAACCTTTTAATGAATGCAGTCCACAGCCTGGAGACAAGAGGTAGAGGACATCGTCATTCACACTGTCACGTTTCAGATTCAGAAACCCAGGAAAACAGTAGTTCATAAAAGTGGTCAGATTCCACAGGATAAGAGTACGCTCAGCTCTCTCTCAGGCGAGCGGGAGAGGGTGTGAAGAAGAAGCACTGGCTTTTCTCAGGAGCACTCAGCATCTTGTAGTATTTAGATGAATATCTTTAAGGAGCAGAAACAGACTGCAAGAAGCTCAGAGACCTCAAGAAGAGCACCTGAAGGCAAACACAGCTGGAATGGTAGGAAGGGTTTTCCTTGTGTATTGGGAGGGAGCTGCGGGAACATCTCAGAACGAGTAAGCATGCAGTCTTCCATTAAGATGCAGTATTCCTATATTGTTTCCATTCACAGGCCAGATGTAGGGGAATATAAAGGGAAGTGTCAATGTGAGGACTTCAGTGTATACTTTATATTCTGCTTTGTTTAGCACTGGTAGACTGGCAGGGAAAAGTTATAAGTGCTTGTAACATGCTACTGTCACAAACCCCTTGACATTACAGTATGTGATATCCAAATAAGGTGACAAGAGAGAATGAAAAATATAAATACATTAATTCTAACTATGTCTGTCAGAGGAATCTTCCTAATCTATCTTTAAAGGACTGTTAGACAGAAGATCATTTTATACCTGTTGAATGGAACAAATTCTTTTACTTTTTTTTCAGATAGGTTTAAAACATATGAAGATACAACAAAATGGCAGTCATCTGCCATTTTATTGTAACCCACCTCAGTTAAAATACAATGGGTACAATGTATTTTACATAGTTTTCTGAGTGTTTTCTGTATATCTATATATGCCTCCTATATATGCATATACATCTATATATACACAATTGACATTATGTATATATGTTATAAAACTGTTTAGGAAGAAGCAAGATAAGTAGAAAATACCAATTTTAAGTCATGTTATTGGATTATAAATTTTTCTCTCTCCATAAAGTCCTTTTTTCCTTTCTTGCAATATCTCAGTGCCTCCTTTTCTCAGTCTTTTTACTGCCTGCTCTGCCTCAAACTAATTTCTTCTGTAATGTTTAATAACTCTTCTTAATTTCAAGGTACTTTTTATGACTGTCTATATTCATTCTAATATTCTGTTCTCTTAGTTATCTGTTTGTAAACTCATTTGTCTTTACATTCTCCATTCTTTCATTGTTGTCACTGAAATACTTTTAAAGAGGGCTTTTTCGAGTCTTCCTTAGCATAGCAATCATTAGGAAAAATCACAAGCTGAAAAGAGAAAGACAAAAATTATATCATGATAATTCAAAAGAATAATGTATCGTGAGCATTTGTTTGGCTTTGCAGAAATTGGTATTTCCCTTTAGTCTCAAGCTCCTAACTTGATCACTGCAGTGGACTTTTGTACTTCCTTACTAGTTTTGACAGCTCTCTGTGTTTATTACTGAACTAGAGTCTCATCATGAGTGTCTGGATCCAGCATTGCATAGGTGTGACTAACACGAATATAGAACTCCCCAGGTCCAGTTTTCAACGTCCAGCTTGAACCTTTTGCTATGGTGATGCGGAGTAGACCAAATCTTGTTGATATTGGAGAAGTCAGTTACTAGTAAAGTATGCTGATGACTGGTTCTTGTGGGACATTTCAAGGGTTGCCTGAAGAGCTTGGCCCTAGTGTTCTCTTGGACACTATGTTTATCTGCTTTTAACGGGCTATTGTACCTGCACATGATCTGTTTTCATAGCTGCTAAATAAGCACTTCAGAGTGTCTGTTGGCTGAGATCTTTGCCAGTGTACTCATCCAGGACCATGCACAGATACTAGAATAATACTTTTATTATCCTGAAAACAGCCAACTCCAAGATTACAGGAAATCCAGGGCAGTGATAGCTTCGTCCAGGAAATGAAGCCTTAGGGTCTACGTCATATCTGTCATCATCCATGGGTTTGGTCTTCTTTAATATTCTGTGTTGCCTTTAGCTAAATGTGTTCTCTTCATCTGTTTCCTCAAGTTTTTTTCCAAGACCTCTTTTTTTTTCTGTCTCTCTTACTCAGAATTTATCTCTGAATTTCTTATCTCTTCTACAATCTGTTTTCTTCTCCTACACTTTCTCCTATCATCACTTTGTTTCATTTCTCTCTTCCAAATGTTCCTTCTGTCTCTTCATTTTCATATTTCTAGGGCTGTGCTCAGGCCCAAAGAAAAATATACAAACTTATCTCCTCCTCTTCCTTTATCCTTTAGCTTTCCCGTGGGCATCACATATAACTATGCTGTGATCTAGATGCCTTCTTCCCATCTCTTTTCTCCCTGTAGTCTCCCTAAATATGGGTCCTCTAAATCTTTAAAGCCCAGCATCTATCTTTGCATACTTACTAACAGGAATTGCTAACCACTGACAAAATGCTCCATCTATGTGAAAGTGGGTGTCTCTGATTAATTTTAAAGATGGATTCTCACAAGGTATATCGACAGATCTGTCTGAGGAATTGCTGGAGCCACCTTTTAACCTGGAAGGTACAGTATTCAACAAAGGATATAAATCTTCTTTAACAAAAGAAAAACTCTCTTCATAAAAGCAAAGATAAATTCCTGAGAGTGATTTTTAGGGGTAACAGTCTGCAGAATTTTCTGTAGTACATGTATAAGGGGAGGGGGAGGTTCTTGGGAAACAGTCATCGATTGCAATCCTTTTCTGCTAGAAGCTGAAAGGAGCAGCTTGAAGGAGAACTTTATTCCTAAAAGTAAGACACGCAGTTATGAAAAAATATCATAGCATTATACTTTGAATCTGCAGGGCTCTCTAGTTTATAATAGTTCTCTTGTCTTCTGTGCCCATTTTATAATGCTATCTTCATATGACATGGAAAGTATTGATCCTGACTTGCTAGTTCATAAACCTGGCTCCAATGTCCAGGTGCCAGCAGTGTTACAGCAGCCTATGTTGGGACGACAGAGTGGATAAGAAAGTGTTATTTGTAATTGAAGCTCTTCTGAAAGACTGTACTATTAGGATCGCTCTATGACTTACATGCAACTGCCTAGGGGTAGGATTAAAAATCCAAGAATGATGTAATTATGTGAATAATTCTGACACAGCCTTCCTTTTTTAAAGGCACAAGGAGAGATGGCATTTCATTGCAATATGTAAATATTCTGTGTTTCTCTTATTCCTCAGTTCTACTTTCAAGGCTACTCAGTACCAGCTGAGATTAATTGCAAACCCCATTTCTCTCCAAGGAAGCTGTTAAAGAAATTATGAGCGCTTTTGGAAATATACTCTTTGTTCCCCTTGTTTTCTACCAGCTGAATTAAAAAACTAACCAGTTTTCTTTCTGCCACAATTAAATTATAGACATATTCTAATAACATTTGTACCATTATATATAAATATATAATCATCAGGAACCCCTTAAGGTTTAAAACATTCTTCCTATGTATGAAAGTGAATCTATATTGTGTTTACAGCATAATTAGAAAAAACAAAATAGAATTATTCATTAGAATCTAATGTATCTATTACTGTTTTGTAATTTTCCTCATCCATGCAGTGGGTGTATTTATAATTCCCTGTTCTTTCCATTTGTCCTCCTCCCTCCATTTCCCTGAACTAGCCGATGAATGGATCGTGGCTAACCCGGAGCTGACAGACAAAACGAAGTTTACTATCAACGGCCTGCCCACTGGCTCAAAAATCCTTGTGAGAGTAAAAGCTGTGAATGCTGCTGGTGAAAGTGAGCCCAGGTACCACCCACAGCCTATTTTAGTCAAGGAAGTGATAGGTAAGATTCTCCTGCCTACACTTAACGCTCTGTTTCCATACTGAGACCTGATTTTTTAAGGCTAATACTTATTTGTTGTTGGAAAGTGATGATACAGCCTTACAAAGCCATTGTGTTATGGCTAGAAATCATGAAACCACCTTTAAAAAAATGTCATAATTATTTTTATTTGTTTCATTTCTGAGCCTTTATCTCAGTTTTTTAGGGCTTTTTTTCCCTGCAGAATTTGAAATTGACGGTGCCTTTTTAAAGTTGCACTAAGTTTCTCACCTATTCCTACCACCATAGCATTTGGTGTTCTAAAACCTGATGGTGTACTAAATGTAACACTGTGGGACCAAGAAATTTAAGATACCTCACACATTAGTCACTTCTGGGAATTGTAGACCACATAGTCTCCATTTTATATTGATGCCCACCAGTGCTGCCTCAGTTAGAAGACAAATGTAATGCACAAGCTTTTTTTTTTTTCCAGAACCTCCTAAGATTCGTCTACCAAGACACTTAAAACAAACTTACACTAGAAGAGTTGGAGAAACTGTGAATCTTGTTGTTCCTTTCCAGGTAAGAGCTAAAAAGATTCTCATTTGTTTGGGTTTTGGGGCTTTTTTTGTGGTTTGTTTGTTTGTTTTTTTTTATACTGATGCTTTTTAACTTACTTCTCTGTAACTTAAGCAGTGTGGAAGCACACTGAAGCACAGAGGTGTTTGAAAGCTTTTGCTTTGACATCTCAGAGAAATTACGTTCAGCCAAGTAATGAATTGGGTAGCTAGATCAGACAGACTGATTGGTCATCTGTCATCCAGAGGACACTTATTAATCCTTGCAGTAGATGTTACATGTGAGATAATTGCTAGCACAATGCAAAGTGCTTACACTGTTAGATATAGTTATTGTGGGTGGAACAGTAGCATTTAATAAGTTTCTCAAGAGAGGAAAAGAGAGGGGAGGAATGGGCAGACTGCAACTTTTAAATCCTTGTGATCACAAATATGACTATTTCTAAATGTATAGCATGTTTTCCTACAGTGTGATGTTAACCTTCATTCCCATGCCTTTTACAATAGTGACTGTCTCTTTACTTGCATAATCCTTCTTCTGGATACAAGAATTAAGGAAGAATTCATTTCTATTTCATGTTTGCACACTTAAAGATACTGGGTGGGCATAACTCAGCTTTTATAAGGCTGCTAAAAGCCTTATAAAAGCTTGATCAGCAATACACTGCAAGCTATACTTCTCTTGAGAAATTAAAGGAACATTAAAATCTATGGTTAATTAAAGAGATTAAAGTCTATGGTTATTCTCTAAGATAAGGTGTTCAAAGCAGTGTGAGAATTACCCTTTTCAGATAGCATCTACAAACTGCCTCTGGAAGGCAAATCCCATGGTAAAGCAGGTGGAATTCACTCTAAATTAAGTACCTAAATTGGACACTTAGATATACAAAAAATGGCACACAAAAGACATCATCCAGCCTACCTAACAGCTATTCCAACTTCTTTTGCAATGAAAGAAGAGAGTTTAGGTTCCCTAGAGTCTTAGTCTACTATTTCCCTCTTTCACTGGCAGTGGAGGGAATGTAAGCACTTCCAGAGGGTGAAATACTTTATTCTGTATTTTCTGTGAGTTATTTTTTCTCCTTTTTATTTTAGAAAACTGGAAGTTATTTGTCAGATATAGCCAGAAAGATAATTGCTCAATATAGCCAGAATGCGCAAATATTTTCAATGTCCTGGGGCAAAAAAAAAAAAGGAAAGAAAGCTATATTTCAGATGAATTGGTATGATTGCATCTCTAAATGCTGTATATTTTAAAAAAGAATTTTTTGTTTCTTTCAGGACAGTTTTTATTTCCTGTTTGGGAAAAAATGGGAAATGAACCTGTTTTCTTTTCTTCCCTTTTCTCTCCAAAATTCATATAAAAATTGTTTTCTGGCTTCTTGCAGGGAAGACCACGGGCAAAAGTATCATGGCAGAAAAACGGTTCTCCAATCGACAAGAATGAAATCAACATCCGCAACACTGAAAACGACACCATCATCTTCATCCGAAAGGCAGAGAGGGGGCACTCTGGAGAATATGATATGAAAGTGGAAGTAGAGAACTTGGTGGACAAAGCTACAATAGATATTCAGATTGTTGGTATGTTTTGAGAAATGGAAATAAATCCAGCCTATAGGAAATTCCAAGCCTATAGGAAAAACAAGGATCCCAAAGAACATCTTTCTTGATAGTGGTAACTCTCCACATCCAATTACTTGGCTATAGAATTGTGGACTCTAAGTAATAATCTCCATAAATAATAGCAGATGCTTGTTGGAACATGTCAGTCTCTTTTTCCACTGTCATGCCCTTCATGTTCTTGCCTATCCAGGATGCAAGTTTTTTCCTGTTGAGTGGTACCCATAGCCAGAAATAGCAGCAAATTCATAGCAAGTTTGTCACAACTGTAGTGTAAAAGAAATCCTAAATGTTGAAAGTACATGAAGGTAGGAAAGACAGGCAAGAAAACACACTTACTTTTCATTTTTGCCAATCTATTTCTTTACATGGTAGTCAAAACTGGTAGCACAACTTTAAATAATATTAAGTTTATTTCAATTCTCACATCTCAACTTTGGAAAGTTTTATTTTGCAACCTTTGTTTTGACATTGGTTTTGAGGTTTTTTGCATGTGTGTGTTGTAGGAAAGAGAGAAATTAAACTAAGTGGAAGATGTGTGTAGGAAAAAGATAGAGAAAGCAAAGAGTAGAAAATGTCAGCTGCTATATTTTTGTTACAGATCGCCCAGGCCCACCAGAGATTGTAACTATTGAGGATGTTTGGGGAGAGAATGTAAATTTATCATGGAAGCCACCAAAGGATGATGGAAATGCTGCCATTACTGGGTACACTATTCAAAAAGCAGATAAGAAGAGTATGGTAAGTAAAAATGAGATGTTTAAAAGTTTGATGTACTCATGAATTCTCCCTTTTAAAAACAAAAAGCATTACATGCTTAAAATTATGTAGGTGGGCAAAGCATTGATTTATCAGCATTCAAAGAATCTGTAAGGCATCTCTAAAACCTCTAAAAATCTCTTGTTCACTATAACTAAAGCCTACAAATAAAAATGTTTTCAAATTATGCCAAAGAAGAGGACTAAAAAGGGACAGGTGGATTTGAGAGAAGTAATTCTGCATTTTTCCCTTGTCTCAGTAGAGAAAATAAAACCTCAAAAATATTAATCCTAAAGTCAGTACGTTGCTACTAGAACAAACTGTTGTACTGGTGCTGCTGTTTTCAAACCTGTAATGTCACACTGTGTGAGTCATTACCACTCCTTACTACCCCTGACAAAATGGTACATATTAATGCCTATACTGCTTTGAGATTCACAGATGAAAAGTGTAATATAGAAATGCTCATTATTTTCATTAAAATAACAGGAATTTTTCACATCCTTAAAAGACAGGAGTTGGATTCTTAGATTTAACATTTACTGCAAATTTAAACACTGGAAATCTAGGACAACATTTTGGGAGTTACCTAATCCAAGAGAATCTTCTAGTGTCTTCCCCCCAACTCCTTGCATTAATATGTTTATCTGCTTCATGATCTGATCAGTTCATTCTTCCTGTGTCACTGTTTCCGTTTCCATCCTTTTTTTTTTTCTTCTTGAGACTGTAGGAAGATATGGTTTCTGGTACAGTAATCAAAACAATGTCCCCTCTCCCTAAATTACTGTGTTAAGGGGAAAGTAACAACAGAAGCATCTAGGGTCCAGTGTGACATGGATCATTCAGGTCACAGTTTCCTCACATTATCTGTGATGGTGTATTTTGCAATTCTGGCACAGCTGGCCTTCTACAGAAAACTGTTTTTCCAAAGGAACTTTGGCTCTTTAAGTTGACCAAATAGCAGTGCAAACTGTGGTACAGGGAACTCAGCACAAGTTCATCTTGAGAAAAGTAAGAAAACTATGTAGGGTAGAGTAAAGAAAAGCAAAAACATTGCTGTGCTCATATTGCACTTTATATTAATTGCATTTTTAGCATTGACCTCTTTCATCTCAGATTGTTATTTAAGCATTGTGTACTAGGAAAGAATTCACATGTCCTGTTACTGCTGCAAGACCAAAGCACTAAAACCCACTTCCCCATGTGAACCTTTAGATGTCAGAGGATCACTGGCATAAAACTACATTTCTCATGAACACTCAACCTGTGATAGAGAGGGTAGATGAGTGTAGTGGTGTCTTGTGAGTACATGTTACTGCAGAATAGCACATGCTACTGCCTTTGCCCCCAAGCCTAAGTTTTCTTATCTGCAACTGTACTTTCTCTGTCAGCAGACTGAATTAGGAATGAGGGTGCCCGCCTTGCTCACACAACAGCACCTTTGTAATACTGGATTGCCTGAAACAAACCCCTCCAGCTACCAGAGTGTAACAATTCAGGAGGATTCACTTTCCATTCGGCCTTCACTGCTCATCGCTGAGCTCTGCAGTGTTCTCATCATCACTCATTTCATTAATTATTGTCAGTGTCACTACTTTAGCGTTAAGTAACATTCGCTTCAAAGAAAAATCTACTCCCACAAGCTTGATGATTCTTCCAGTTGATGTCTGCGAGGTGCAGGGTGCTGTGGGGAAGCTCACCCTCTGTGTTTGTGCCTTTCAGGAATGGTTCACAGTGATCGAGCACTACCATCGCACCAGTGCCACCATCAATGAGCTCATCATAGGAAACGAGTACTACTTCAGGGTCTTCGCTGAGAACATGTGTGGCCTCAGCGAGGATGCAACGATGACCAAAGAGAGTGCTTTGATTGCAAAGGATGGTTAGCTAATTATCCATTCCTTGTCAAAAGGGAAGGGGGGTGCTCAGAGGCTGGAGGGTGATCAGAGGTAAAGGCCATATCTCTAGAGCATTCAGAGGCACTCCTAGCCCCAAGACCAGGTACCACCAACAGCTAGGGCACTTCCTATTAAGGCACTTCCTTCTTCATTTGTACACATAGTTCACAGGCATTGTTTTAATTAGGAGTGGGACTTTTTTCCCATGTTCTGTCCTATGGTCTTGGATCTCAGACTCACATCACCATTGGCAGACGTAAGCTGACAAGAGCTGGAAGAGGATTAAAGCAGCTGTTCTGTTAGAAGCAGCGGGTCACTGCCTCCCAGTGGAGACTTGGCATCAGCTGTGCAAGTGTTCCCTCCATTTCAGGCAGGATCCAACAGGAAAGCATAACTCCTGCTTCACATCTCTTGAGGGTGGGGCTGGACAAACTCTGATCCTGCAGTCAAAAATCCTGACATTTCAGAAGTTGGCAGTTTGAAATGGTACTGTAAACTTTAAAAAAAACCCAACCAGACAAAAAACCCTGCCCATTTACAGAAGGGGAATTCTACAAACAAGTGGCTCACAGGAAGAAAATCAAACCAGATCACCTCAGTTTGTCTGAAAGGAAGGAATACATGACTGCCATGATGCAGAGGACAGACAACCTGTACAACCCACACTGCCAGGCTGAAGAACTGAAGGTCCTCTCTTTTAGAAACAGGGTCATGAACAATGGCTATAGAAATTGATTTTTATCACACCTTACTTGCCCTTCTCATGAGAGCAAGTATCAGGCCTGAGCTGCACTGAAGTCAGTATGAGAGCTTGGATCAGGTTTCAGTGAAACAATGATGTTTGATGATACCTGTGCACAGGAATAGATGTCTGCCTGTCCAGCTGTTTTAAATGCTGGCTGAGTTTGTGGCTGAAGAAGATTTATTGATGGTAATCTCCACTGCAGAGCAGGGATAAAGTGGCAGTGAGAAAACACATTTTACTACCATGTTTTCCTTGTACAGAAACTACATCCCCTCAGGTATCTGTATTATTAGTATAGTGTTTGAAGCAGAAAGAAAAATGGATTTTCAGATACAGAGACAGTTTGTAAGCAGAACAAACTGTGAAAAAGTAGTTGGCAACAGAGTGAACAAGGCTTGTCAAAGGTAGGCATCCTGCAGTACATTGGTCATGATCTGTCCTATTCTGTAACACACAGGGAAATCAGGCAAAGACATGGAATAAATATGTGTTATTTTGTATACCACCTACACAGGAAATAAAGAGAAGCTCTCAGGCATCAACACTGTAGCATGGGCAGGGGCTGTAGTCACTTTGCAGGTGCACTTCCAGCTTCCCCTACGAGTGCAATTACTAGAGTCACAGTGCAGATCAGAACCGACTCCTCGTAGCCGTTTAAGATGCTTGGGTATTTGTCTACATGCCAACACTCTTTTTCAAAAATGTTTTATTTTCATTTCATAGGTAAAGTCTACAAATATCCAGTTTACGATGATTTTGACTTCAGTGAACGGCCGTTGTTTACTCAGCCTCTAGTCAACACCTTTGCCATAGCTGGTTACAACGCTACTTTGAACTGCAGTGTTCGGGGCAACCCCAAGGTACAGCACAGCTCCTAACAACACTTAAAACTTGAGAGAGTTTAACCTGACAATGCAAATTATAAAACCACTTTTGCCATTTGTCTCTCTCACAAGCCAGGCTGAAGGCAAAAATACAAAAAAAAGGACCTACTTATTCGTGCTATAGGGACTATAATAGTTAATCCACAAATAACTCAGTGAAAGGGCAGAACCTCAGGAAAAGGCTGGGCTATACTGGGACCCACACTGACAATAGCTGTAAAATTAATATATCAGTAAAGGTTATTACAAAAATAAAGCCATAATTATTTTTTAAAAAGCTAATTATTCTTTAAGTAAGCACATTGCAGGAATACTCTGGGGATCATTTTGTTTCTCAGACCCACTGCACATTGTGTCTTGTGGTTTCTTTTGAACTGTGTCTTTTTGTGATCTATTCTCTATTGTGAGAAGCTGAACTGGCCTAGTAAAATGAGAACTCCAGAGTGTTTAAGAACATGTTTGCTGTTCACTCTGTACCTTCACAATTTCTGACTGTGCAAATTACTGCGGAAAAACATGCCTTTCTTGTTAACTCAGAGTAATTGGGTGTCAAAAGCTAGTGCTCAGATGTTTGCTATCATTGCACAGTCCTTGTTGTATTGATAGCAGGCTTAAATTTATGACTTTAATTATGTGATAGGAGCCGCATTGAAAAAAAAATCGTGCTTATAAACAGATGTATGATGCAGCCCATATTTATCTTTGAGAAAGGAATTACAGTTTCCTTTCTATCACTACTGCATCTGTTTTCCATCATTTCTGGATTGTTTTAACTGAACATCACAAAGAAGTGATAAAATAGTTCACAATTTGTGCATGTGGGCTTTCTTTTGTTTTGTTTTTGGTTTGTTTTTGTTTTTTTTTACCACAGCCCAAAATAACCTGGATGAAAAACAAAGTCCTTATAATGAATGACCCAAGGTACCGAATGTTCAGCAACCAAGGTGTGTGTACCTTGGAGATCCGCAAACCCAGTCCCTATGATGGAGGTACTTACACCTGCCGAGCAGTCAATGAACTTGGAGAGGCAGAAGTGGACTGCAAACTGGAAGTAAAAGGTAAGGCCTTTAAAATATTGCAAAGGCCCTGTTTGTCTGAATTGGAGCTGAAAGTACATAAGGCAAATCCAAAAGGGAGTTCAAACAGCTTTTTTTACCTTCCTGTATTCAAATAATAACTTTGCTAAAGAAAAAATATATTGTTTGCTTTGTTTTATTTTTGAGGACCAACATACTATGCTTATGCTATATTTCATTTTCCTCAATGATGATTCACATCTTCAGTGATTTCAAGGACTTCTTCACAAGTGACAGAACAGTGGACTGTAACTCTCAGAGCTGTGCCATTTACCTGAGACACTCCAGTAAAACTCAATCATTGAGCTCTCTGGGAAAACATTAGGCAAAACATCTCAGATAAGAGGCATTCCTCTGAAGCAAATGACAAGGGGAGAAGGAGAGAAAGAAGAAAGATTAGTTCAGGGCAGAATTGGTCTGCTTTAAAACTATTTATTAAACAAAACAGACATTTGCATCCAAGGAACTTTGTTCGCAAATCATAGTAAAAAGTAGTATTGTTCCCAAGGACACAAACTAGTTGATATAATTGCTGCATTTGCTTTAAGAACACAGTATACAAACCCATGGATTTTGCAAAATCCTTCTATAACTGAAGAACTATTTTTGTTTTCATTAACAGATAAATTTTATGAATTTCAGGTAGTTTAGAATATCATGAATGGCAAATGGATCTAGATTGGACTACTAATGAAGAATCTCATGGCCTTTTTTTCCAGAAAATTACTTCCTAGGAAAAGATAGCGTCATATTTAGCTGGACTAATTCCCACCAAAGGCTTTAGTTTCAACTGTCAAATAAGCAAAGTATTTCTGAAAAAAATTAATCTGAGGTTATAAGTAAGGAAACCTGCCTAAAACCAGCTAACAGGAGGTGTCTAAGGAATTTAGAGGGAATTTAGATGATATCAATATGGTCCTATCTATATTACTTCCATCATGCTAGTCTATAATGACAACCACATTTAATATTTGTATGGATTGTATTGTGTTTACTTCAATTTCCTTTTTCTGTATTTTCTGATATATCTTGTCCCACAGCTCAAATTTGCCAACAAGAAGACATTTCAGTAAATGTTTGGTCTATGAAGTTGAACACTTAATGTAATGAAAATATGCATAATATGTTTCTTAGTTTCTATCTTTTAAGATACTGCGTTTAAAAGATGATGTCCTTGTACCGAAAATGATTGTTTTCCTTAAGCACAAGCAAACTCTCTATTTCACAGCAGAACAGAAGACCTCATCACCTGAGAAGGTTGCTTAGTCTACCTTTTTTATACTGAAAAGCCAAGTTAGGTTGTTATTTCATTGAACATTTTAAGTTCCCAAGCCCTAAGATTCTTATGCACATTTACATTCAATTGTAGCTTTTTAGTCTTCAGCACTTTGCTTGTAGTACAGTCAAATGCTATATTTGAAATACGAGAAGATGTTTATTTATGTCCTCTGTTTTACCAAGAGGTTTTTTGCATATAAAGTTCAGAAAATAATGTGTTGTTAATCTCTTACTAGCCATATAATGGGCTGCTTCCTTAACCTAAAACCCACCTTCCCTAGCTCATGGTTCAACCGATGGATTCAAGGGGAACAGGATTAACTGAATACAGCAGCTGAGGCTTAGTAAACCAGGGAAGGCTCAGGGTTTGCTCTATGCAAATATAGCAAATTACTATTTAACAGCCAGAATATAAAAATATAATTACATCTTAGTTCTCTCTTCTACTGACTTACATGTTGAATTATCATTCTTTTAAGTTTCCCAGCCTGTTTGTTCATTTAGGAGGGCTCTTCGGATGACTGCTCATCACACTGATGCAGAGCAGAGACCTGCGGATTTCTCACTCACTGGAAATGAATTGCAGTGTGTGTGTGTGTGTGTGTGTGTGTTTGTGTTTGTGTTTTCATTTGTATAGCTTTAAATTGGTTCAGCTTTATTCCAGCAAGTAACAATCAAGGTCTGGATTTGTAAGATGATGAGATAGTTGACTGTTGCCTGAATAAGACTAACAGGTTCAAGGCTGTGCTACCTATCTGGTGAATGCACAAGGTAAATGCTATTACTACAAATAGTAGGTATTACTTACTTACTAGTAAGTCATGCTAAAGAGCTCTATGCCATGCAACAGTATATATTGTAGTAAGCTATTTTTCCTTATGTTGGCTAGAATTACTTTTAACTATCTATCTCTGACATATGGGAGATCTGAAATTTATCATGCATATATAAGCTCAGCCCCAGGAATGTTCACAGAACAGCCTAGCATTTCTGATTTTGCATAATATTTGAATAATTGACTAGCTAGGAACACTCTGGCTATGAATCCTATCAGGATGCTACATATTTCTACATTTTTAGCCATTTGCTTACATTATTTTAGGTGTAAAAGCAATGACCCCTAGTCTTTGCTAAATTTAATTCTCATTTCCTGAAACTTATAAGCACAACAATTGAAATAGTAAAAACTAATTCTATCTTCAAAAGAGGTTTTGCATGTACTGATGTTATTTCAGATGGACAGTATTTCATTCTTCAGTTTTAAGTTTTGCTGGGTGAACTTAAAGATGGCAGTTATATGAGCTGCTCTGTACAATTGCACATACAGTGGCCTTTTTTGTAAATATAAGTGTGCTGTAAAAAGTAATGTAATAGATCTTAGAGAAGAGAATAACTCTACCTCATCTATCTTGAAAGATAATGCATAAACAGAATCTCACTGCGTGTTTCATACTCATCTTACTACAGAAAACAACATATATATCTTTGAGTTTGTTGAGGCAGATCCCTAAATTTGGCTATAAATCTCACATTAGTAGCAGTAAGGAATGATTCCTTATCAGTCTCACTGAGGTCAATGAAAAGAATTAGATAAGGTGTGGTACCTCTTTTATCTTGAAAAAAATGGCTTTGGAGGACTTTTGTCTTAAAAGTGAAATCCAGGTTGGTGATCACTCTGGCAGGTTGGTGATAGCAAAGTTGCTGTACAAGAAATATTTTTTTAAAAGGTGTTAAGATCAACTGGGAAGAATTTCAAATGCGAATAAATACCACTATAAATATTCTAATTCTGCAGTGATCTATCATGGAGTAATTAACCCAGGAGAACCAATCTGCTTGGCGGGGAATAATCAGGTTTATAATGCGCATACTCCTCTGGACATTCCATTTCATTCCCTTCCTCTCTTTCCACATGCAAACGCATTTTCTGCATGCAAAGTGTGTATTTATTTCCTTTTTTGAATAAACTAGCTAGTGTCTCATGGCATACATTGTTTATGTCACATGAGCAAAGAAGGCTAAATTAATCAAGAATATGGGTATTTAACACCAGAATTACTAAGGTTTTAGATATATTTCATAGAACTACCTGTACCTATAAAGAATTTATTTAATGACTGTGAATACCTCTGACCACTACACTTAGACCTTTCCAGGAGAATGAAGTTTGCATTTCCAAAAGCCATCTCTCAGTTAGTTTGTAGAATTATTGAAAGAACAGAAGTATCATAAAGTCCTTTGCTGCGCTTAAAAGGCATTCTTTATTACAGATTAGTTTTTGGTGACAAATTAGTGCTCAGAATGATAATCCATACCTGAGCTTAACCTACTGAATCAAGGATGAAATATTGATTCAATTACTTACAAGCAGAAAATTTTACTTCATTTATTTTATTCCTTCTAGAACTTATTTTACATTCAAGTTCAGTGGGGTTCAGAGATTTTCCTCTTTCTATGGAAATGTGATTTCTTGCAACCTTGCCCAAATGTCAGAATATTGACAGTGCAGTTTTAAAATTATAATGATGTCCAGAAACCAGTCTGTAGTATATTATCATCCAAACTTACAATTCCAAACCTAAACCACGTTAGATCAGACTAGATAATGTTCCTGTAGCTTTGAAGTTTTAGGGTATTTTTCTTAAAAGGCTACAATAGTCACAAAGTTGAGTGCCTTTACATACACACACATACATAAATGCATATATATGGTTCTTTTATAGATTCAAAATGTTTAATTAAAAGTAAGGGCTCCTACAGAGTGAATAGCATGCTTTAAGTAATGTAAATGTGGATATATGACAAAGTACATATTCTAGTGCACAGGTATGTAATTAGTCTGTACTTGATTATTTTGCCTTACAGAGTTTCAACATATATATATATATATCCTTCAGTGTTTTGTGTGTGCTTTTTTTCCCTGGTGGAAAATATTATATATATATATGTGTTAGCTTTTTTGAAGCTACATTTGGAAACTTTTATCATAAATATAGTTTGCATAATTTGGTTCCAATCTATACTTTAGACTAATTATAGGTTTTATAGTTACTTGTACATATTAATATAACTTTTCCATATTAATGATAATTTTGAAGTGGAACTGGATCCCTACCTTTTACTCTTCATGTGCTTCTATTCCTACATATTTTACATGACTAAGGATTAAATTATCATCTTGACATAATTGTAATAATAATTTCACTCAACATTTTCTCTCTACTTTTGTGTTTGCAATTAAATTGTTCCTTCTCTTTCTCTCTCTCCCTTAGTAATCCCACAGTAAGGATTTTTGAATGTATATTGTCATCTAAGGTAAGCTTTCATATGGTTCTTGCATATGAAGCTTATGTCTGTTTACAGGTCATACAATGTCTGCCTAGTATGGCATGATTTTCATTATGTCACTTAATGAAAATGTTTTTTACAGTTAGTAGCATGATAATTTTAATGCACATAAATACAGATTTTTATAATAATTGCTTGTTACGGTAATTCTTCTTAGTAGTACATCCCACTATCTTCTAATGGTACATGTTTCAATGGAATTTAACAGTGCATGAGTTAGCATGATTAATTAGCATGAATAAATACAAGTAATAAAAGAGCATTTTGCATTTACAGTAAGTTATTTTTTATAGGAATATACCTCTACATAAACAAAATATTTATTCCACAGTTAACTTCATTTAAAAATGAATGACTCGTATCACAACATGCACTCCATGAGCTGAAAGAATGCCAAAAAGCATGCTTTTTTTTTTGGTCTGTATTTTGCATCTACCTAAGGTTGGGAGCAAACAGTTCTACCACAATGACAGTGTTAAATGAGACAGTGCAGTCTCATAATCACTAGTAACTAATAGCACTTTAATTGGATAATCCTTGTGTTAATGAAGGGTATAAATTTTTAAAAATCCGTACACGGGATAAATGCTGTGTGTAAGTATCAGCTCAATTGCATTTAGCTGAAGCACTCAGAGACAGTGTTATCTTCATCCTGGCAATTTACTTTTGCTTTAAAGCTTTTGGTGTGTTCCAGAAAAAGCTCAGAAGGTAAGTGCAGCTATCAGCGGGTGGTTTTCAACTTACAGAACACAATATTCGTGCAGATTTGTAAGGGGAATTGTAATGGTATATATCTTTTTTTAAAGCAAATAAAGATAAAGCAAATAAAAATAAAGCAAATAAAGACACCCTTTGTCTGGAGAAGGGGCAGATTCTAAAGTTTTTAGCAAAATATATATCTTTCCCTGTTTCTTCCAAATATCATTTGGAAATCATGAAATTAATATCAATTAAATGAACAGAAATACTCATGTGTTTAGTTTCTGTGACTTTATTTCAGTGACATGGGGCGTCTACAACCTCTCTGGGCAATTTGTGTCAGTGCCTCACCACCCTCACAGTTAAAAATTTCTTCTTTGTATCTAATCTAAACCCACCCTTTTTCAGTTTGAAGCCATCACCCCTTGCCTTATCACTACATGCCCTTGTGAAAAGTCCCTCTCCATCTCTCTTGTAAGTTCCTTTTAGGCACTGGAAAGTGCTCTAAGGTCTCCCTGGAGCCTTATCTTTTCCAGGCTGAACAACCCCAACAAAAAGCGAAATTCAAAGCTGAATCTAAAAGCAAACCCAAAATGATTCTTCAGACTTTCCCAGCAGATGAAAGTTTCAACTTTCATCATCTCTCTCTGGAGGCTAAAGGCACCTATATCTAAAATCCTGGCTTTTTTCCATACGATTCTTTCACATACATCATCCCAATTGTTATTTTCAAGCAGCATGGTAAATATTTTGCTAAGGACATATAAACCATTGTAAGACCCAAAACTAGAATAAGTTGAGTATCTCTGCATGTTTTCCACAACTCATCACAGTCAGGTGTTTTCTATATTGTTCCCCCTGCACTGACTTCCATCTCTGACCCTACTCCACCCAGCCCGATGGAAAGCCAAGAGAGTCATTTGAAGTGAAGCTTATCATAGACTATTGCATGGGATGAGATAAATGACTGAATATATGATATCCTAGAAATGAAATTCACCCTGTGCAAGAGGACAGGAAACGCCTGTATAGCACCCACTAAATAATGGTTAAGTCTCATGCTGGACTTTTGAACAGGGTTGAATTTTACCACATCTCAAAGAATGCAATATAGACTGACTAAAACTTGTCATTTATGCCAGAAAATAAAGGTACTAAAGCTGTTGCTCCAGGGACCTTCAACCTGAAGACTATCTTTTTTTCTTGTTTGTAGGTGGGCTTTCGTTCTTCAGACTATTGATGGATGGAGTGCCTCCGCATATCATTCATTCGTATATGCGTGAAGTACAGGCAGACAAAACTGAAGCCAAGTGAGAGTCCGTCCACAGTGTTTCCTCCCACTGCACTGGAAGTTGGTAGCAGAGTAACAGCATTTGAGTTCTTGCAATCACAGAAAAAAATGTGCGGTTGGAGATTTTATTATTTTTTTGCCCCCTCCCTTTTTTTTTTTTGTTTTCCTTAATTGTTCTTTTGTTTTCCCTATCTGCTCTTACTGAAAAGAAAGAATACGCATGGATTGCTTTGGGGTTGAAATGAAATGAACTGAAGACAACACACATTTTGTAATGTTCAGCTTTATTTTCTGTTTGATATTGTGTTCTGTTTTTTAATGAGGAAAGAGGAGAAACTGTGTAATAAACATGAGGAGGCAGTCGGAGCCTGTACCCGTTGGCACAAAGCATATCTTTCTCAGACTGGAAGTACATGGATTAATCAGTAGCTGTGCAATAAGACCCTTGGAATACATACCTCTTTGATAATGTATCTGATTCACCTGGGAATTGTTTAACACAATATGGTTTTACTATAATGTAACTAATACGTATGTACTTAATGATCATTTAAGCTGAACATATCTTCCTATAGAAGTTTTGATTTCCTAAATCCAACCCATCAGTCTCTCAACTTAACTGAAATTGTTTTATTTAATGTACAATAAATATGAAGTGTTTAAGACCTGCTAAGTTCTTGTTTACTATTTTTATGGGTTTTCTTCCTGTCTCCTCTTACATATACACATTTAAATATTTTAAATGTTATAAATACCAACCACAATGCCTTTCATCATCGTGAATCCACCCCCTTTCCTCAGCAATTCGTGGAGCTCTTTTAGGTATCGTATCTGAAAAGGGACTCAGACTGGAGCCCTAGTGAGTTCACTGTGCAAGGCAAAAGTGCCTGAGACGGGGTAAAACAGCTGCATTACTTCTTCGACTCTGGCATCATTAACTTCCAAGTATTTTAGGAGTGGGGGTGATTGTCCCCAAGTCTCCAGCAAACTCTGAAGCACATGAGACACAAGGTCACACATATTTTGGCCAGGTTGTCAATTCCCTATTGCCCTGTCATTTATTTACCAGTTCTCACTCTGGCTATGCAGACAGGGCAGGTTATGTGCTTACTGGCTAATGATTGATCTCCAATTACAGTTTAGAAAGATAAAGGTCTACTTAGACCAGTAGTACATTACAAGATGTTTATTTGATGTTAGTGCATTTTCAAGCATTCAGCAGTCAGTAATTATGCAATAATAAAGAATGTGTTACTATGAACCGCCACGGCTGAACTGGTGTTTTTGCAGTTTAATTAGCTCTTCTTACACTCTGGGGATCTGGATGCATTTTCTTATGTTGTTCTGTGAATTTTACTTACTCATTTCTCTCCGTCCTTTCTGTCTTTGTGATTCCTTCAGTAGTGCTCTCTGTACAGGGGAGCATTCTGCATTTCCAGCAATTCTGGAGAACCCCCCCCACACATACACACACCTGCATTTCACCCTGCTCCTGCCAAAATCAATACCCTCCTACACATTCATTCACGCCTACACATGAAAGAAAGCAACACATTTAGTAAGACAAGATATAAATAAAGGATTAATAATTTCTGTTTATTCTGTATATCACCAGTGAATTGGGATTCCATCTATTTTGAAGCACAGAAGGCTGCGGGAGCGGGTCAGTTTGAATAAATGCCATGGAGGTTTAAGCATTTAAGCACATTAAGGTAGTTACCAGCCTGTTATAGTCAGCCCCAAAAGCTACAGTTATTGTGAGTTTGTGCTTGTCAGTACACCAAAAATGATGCACACAACCATCTCCACTTTGTACACAATGATGTTTACAGCTCCAAGTTTGTGTCTATCTGCCTCCTCGGTCTTCATAAACACACACATAATAACGTGGAAGCCAGCATAAACCTCAGCTCCTGTAGGCCCTCTGACGATGGAATCAGCTGCTCTAATTCCTACCAGATGCCAGCAGTGTTAAACGACAAGCTGAACTAAGCTACTTTTCCCCATGTGAACGTAAGTTTTATACTCAGATGCCCTCAGTTCCTCCCCAGTTGCGTTTCCCAGCATTTGCCATTGGCCATCCCTCGGGCTGGAGACACAGCACGGCAGCAGGAAGTGCTGGGTATCGAGCCGTGGGTGGAACTGAGATGAGTGGGCATTAGTGTGCTATAAATTCATGGTCTCACCAACTACGCTGAGCAGCCAAGGCTCTGGATTAAAGATTAATTGACTTTGACAGGAATGATTGAATGGGGTGGGACAGGAAAGGGACTCCAGTCGATCTAAAACAGGCTGCAGAGCCTTATACAGAGAGAATAAGAAAAGGTAAACTTTTGATTTATGATGATTTGTTTAATGATATTCTCCAGGGATGATGTTTGATAGATGGAATAGTGACCAAACCCACAGAGTTCAGAAAATGCTAATGAAATCTGCAGCTAATACCATCTTAGGAGAATGAAGATGTGCCGAAGACAACAACAAGTACAGGCAAAATAACTTATGATGAAATAGAAGCAGCAGAATATCACGCTGTAAAAGATATGGCACAATGCTCTGAAGAATAAATTTCTCCAAAGTCACATGGAATATTCAGGTAATTAGTGAACCTGAAAGAGACATAGGAGTAACAGAGGACAGCAAATAAAACCTGGTCATATGAGATAAAGTAGCAAAACACAAAAGCTAAGGAAGCAGTGAAACTAGCAGTAATTTTGTGCATCAGGTTGTGCTCCCTGATGCCTCATATTATGTGAAACCAGTTTAAGTCTTCAGCTAGATGCATTATTCATATCACCTGTTTGCTACGTACAGTCTCCATCAACTAGTATGTGCTGAGGTTATAGTTCAGCAGAATCTTTAATCAGATTTTTCTTTTCTGCACACTTTCCTGCATCTAGTAGGAATTCAGTATTTTTGAAAGCTCTGCCTTAGTGTACATAAGCCGAGGAACATTAATCCTTGGATTAAGAAGGCAGACCCAAACATGTAAACACACATAGATACACACACACACACAAAGATGAATCAAAGTTAATTTTAAAAAAAGAAGGTTATTTTTAAGGAAGTCAGAGGAAAATATTTTGTCTTCCTTTAACTTGCTCTCCTTGCCCATGGAAGGGCATTTGGCATGTAAACGTTATAGCTGCATAAACACAGATCCATTCTTGAATTGCTGTGTGGGGAGCTTGATACAGGCACTGTAGTTACTCGGTTGCATTGCAAGATTGTGGCTACTGTCAGCACACTTTTCCCTCACAAAAACAATCTCAGAAATACAGGAAGGGAAGGAGTAAAAAAACACCTGTAATCTTGTAAAGCTTATTTAAACTGGGATATGCCGTTTATAAGGAGATCTTTATGGAGAGTCAGAAATTTTTAAAAATATTCCTCTTATAAAAAAATGTTTCAAGCTTCCTGAACTTCTTTATGAGGGGAAAAAGAAAAGTATAATATTGCTACCTTTTACAGAGCATTGTGAAGGAACTCTTACTTTATGAAAATCTTTTGTTGCATTTTGAGATTCTGGAGCAAAAGGCATTCTATTTTAAGCACAGAATACTTACTGTCACTTGATTTTCATGTCCTGCTTTCCTGACTGACAAGTGAAGCTGCTGCTTTGCTGAAGCAGAGAGCATTTGGAAGCAAAATGTGTCCTGAATACTGAGGAAGTAGTGCAAGTCTAAACACATTGGACTTTAAATCTATGTGCTCTTGTTCTATACTTAGTTTCTGAATATTTTTTAAATTAAAACAAACCCTTCTCCAAGCCCAGTGACTAATTCAGTAGGGAATCTGTTTCTTCCTCTACTCATGTGGCTTTTTATGCCACTTACTTTCCCCTCCACTTTTTTTCCTAGTTTCTCTTCTTTAACTCTTGCTATCGCAAAGAGCTTGAGCAACATCTACATAAATACCAGTACCATTATATTCATTGGTGACAGTAATGCACAGGGTACTGAAAGAAACAGTTTTACATTCTTCTCAGTGATCCCAGAGGACTGGGGATCTCTCTGGTTCTGAATTTGTCACATTTCCCTTTAGCCATTCTCTAGTTGGCTGTTACCTCTTCTTTTGTTAGCAGTTCCTCTCTTCTATGTTTTGTCCTCTAATGACAATTGCTGTACCATACTGTACCATACTGTTTTTTAGTGATCTGTAAATTAAATCAGGTGATGAATGACATAGCACTTGGAACGTGCATACTGCCTCATGGGATTTTGAAACCACTCTTTAGCCTGACTCTTGCAGTAAAGAAACCTACTCAAAAACATATTAACTTTATCAGTTGAAGTGAATCAGCTCCCTTTGAATAACAGGAAGTGGCTTTGTCTGGCCAGAAAGCTGCACCTTCTGGCTCATAATGGAGTAACTTAAGAAAGAGTTCCAAACTAAGATGTCATTTGGGTTTATAATACTCATTGCAGGATGCATTTTACACTTGCTACTTCATCTTTCACACAGCTACACAGGGCTCACCTTTCCTCAGCCTCCCTCAGAAACCACACATCCTTCTAGAGATTCAGGGATACATCTAAAATTCTTCACGTGACCAATTCAAATAATTTGATGTGCCGCTACTGAAAAAGTGTATTTGTTTTGAAGCGCTTTCTCTGTGCAGGCCAAGGAGGTAAATTAAGTCCTGTGCTAACACCGTGTCCGGGTGTCCCACAACATGTTAAGACCAGAACTCCCCAGGCAAACCACGCTCCAGTCACCTCTGGATGGTGGAGGGACCCTTGGCTGACAAAGTGGGGTCACCCCCCTGCAGGCCCTGTCCTGCTGGCTGCAGGGAGGTCACCTGCTGCCCTTATACTTTACTACAGCAAAAATCCTTGCCGGCCACCTTCTGCGTGCCCCCGCTGTGGCCATCATCTGCACAATGAAACGCGTGAAAGTAAAATAAGCTGAATGAGGAAAATCACAGGGGAGAGGGGGATTCGACCCACGCTGCCCGCATCCAGGAGGGGTGAGAGGTGGGCGCATCACCCCGGGACCAGCACGGCCCGTGACTGCCCACGGCCCGGGGGACGGACGTGCCCTGCCGGGGCGCACCCCCGCCACGACCGCGGGCTTCCCCCGCCGCCGGGGGATCCCCATCCCAGCACGGCGAGGCGGGGCCGCGCCCGCTGCGGTGGCGGAA